ATTTTAAATGACTGATTACATATATGTGTTCGTGGATCTGCTATGAGCTCTATTGTATTCTTGATTAGGTTCATGTCTAGGCCAGCTGCATCTTTGGATGTTTTTGGTTTGAATTGTTTTACTATTTTAACTATCTCATTTTCATTTGTAGGATTCATATAGAAGGAGTTTGGATTTCTACAGACTGTATTACATGGAAGAGAGTTCCTGTGCATTTCTATAGATTTTGCCAAGTTATTACCCACATTAACAAAATACTGATTGAACCCATCTACAATCTCTTTTATAGTTTCGAGTCTGGTATTATTATGTGTAAAGTGATTTGGGATATCATGTTTTTTGTCTCTTATTTCCATAATACTGTTTATCACTTTCCATGTTCCTTTTATATTTTCCCTTTGCTCTTGAAGTAATTTGTGAAAGTAGTTCTTTTTACAACTTCTCAGGATGCTTATCAATTTATTTTTATACTTTTTATATTTAATTTCAGATTTCTTTGTTCTGAGTTGGATAAATCTTTTATATAGTAAATTTTTTTTCTTGCATGCATTTTCTAGTCCTTTCGTTATCCAAGGCTTTCTAACACAGTTTTGATTTTCATTTACTTTTTGCAATGGACAGTTTTTTTCATATAGTTTGATATATTTACACAAGAAGGTTTCATAGGCATCATTGGGATCGGTCTGATTGTACACATCATTCCAGCTAAGTTTGTTTAAGTCCTCCTTAAAATTATTTAAAGACTGGGGTGTTAATCGTCTTATGAATTTGTATGATTTTGATTTGGAATCATAATTCAGTTCATTACAGTTCTGAAAAACTGCAAAAACTGGAAGGTGATCACTTATGTCACTAATCAGGAGTCCTCCAATTGTTTTAACTTCAATTTTACTGGAGAATATATTGTCTATCATTGTAGTAGTGTCAATGGTAATCCTACTTGGTTTATCTATGATTGGGATGAGCATATTACAGTACATCATGTTCATGAAGTCTGCTGTTTTTTGGGGGTTTTTTTTAAGTTTTATGTTGGTCTAGTCGCTAAATCAAATCATCACGTTAAACACTTGTGGATTTACTTTTTTCTTTTTTCTTTCTTTTTTAAATTAATTAATTAATTTTTTATTTTATTTTTTTACAAATTTTTCGATATTTCAGTACAGGGTTATCATTAGGGAAGTTTGACTCTTGCCTATCATTTGACAGTATGGCAATGGAAACCACCAATATGGTGACCACCTAAAACTGTAAAAAAGGGACACATTGTTGAATATGGTGGAAGATAGAGGAACAAACTCAGACTACAGATTACAATAACACATGATGTTTTGTTTTATTTAAGTTTAATCAATTGTGACGTACTGAAAAAGATTGGAATAGCAGTATGTGCCGGCATATTACAACTCTAGAGCCAAAACACCCCTTTTTGCAAGATTTTTTTTTAATGAAATGAAAAATGAAAAAGTTCTCTTTGGAACGAGGGACAGAACCTGAATGGCTGTGTAGAACAACAGAGAGAGGGGCATGTTTCAACCCAGTTTACCATATTCCACTAAATCATACTCTGCAGGCACACCTTTGATTCTGAATATACATGGCTGGAAAACAGACTGCTTTCCTTTTGGTTGTTCACTTTCTTTGGGCTTGGGACTGGTACTTGTGACTAAGTAGCATTAGTCTAGGGTAATGTCCTCATAACCTCTCGAGCACATTGAAAATCCTGTGCAAAGCTTCTCAGAGTCAATCAAGGTGAAAGGTGAAACTGAGTCCATAAAAGGTTATCTCAAGTGCACAGAAACATAGTCTGCAGTAACATGTCTAACTGTTAGGGACTAGATGCCTCTAAAAAATCAATAATTGAACAAGGTAATATCATTTTACTGTTTGCCTGTTTTAGCTGTTACCATGGCAGGGACTCATCTATTATTAACCATTTGGGTGTCTAGTATTTGCCCTCAGTGTATTTTGTGCTCAGGTTTGACGCGTCAGTGGACATTATTGTAGAGTATTTGCACGTTTCATAGACTTAATAGCGTTAATGCTTTGTTGAATGAGTGAAAGAAGATGTAAAACTATCCCGTGTTTCTAATGGAGAGGCCACAAATGAAATCGATGAAGGACAAGGCAGGTAAAACAGTGCGCTTTAGAGTAGCCTCTGCCAACAGCGGCCGCGTGCTCACAGAGGTGTTCAAGGATGAGACGGGCTGGGGCAGGTCAGTGTCACACTCAGTGGATTCTGACAGCACCGGCAGCCCAGACATGGAGGAGGACAGCCCACTGCCCCCCAGCGAGGCCAACAGCCACCTGAACGGACTGAGGGTGGGCAGCCCTGTGGACGAGAGCGGGGCTGAACCTGATGAGCTGCTGCTGTACGCTAGTGCCAAGAGAGAGATGTTCTTCACCAACAAGAGGATCAACATCTGCAGCAAGAATGGGACCATCCGTGGAGTGAGGAACAAAGTGAGCGCAGGCCAAGTGCTATTTAACAACCTCTCTCATGTCTACTCTGTAAGTACTGACGTAACTGAACTATTATTATGTCATAGGCTATAAGCTACAAGAAGACAGTGTGTGATGCAAATCTTATCTTTTTAAAGGGAAATTCCCGTCAGCAAAAAAGGAGACCCTGGGAAAAACAGTAGGCCAAACAAGATGAACTCTGAAATCTGGGACGCGAGGGCCAGGACAAAACACAGCCTGTTGGCCTAAGTGTTGAGTGTGTGTAAATGTGAATTTTCTTCTAACTATTTTTGTATTTTTATAGTAATTTGTACAAAATGATTGTGATGATGTTTCTTTTGAGGCTGTACGTATCTGCAAAGCCACATTTCCTCATTTGAGCCATATGAGCCATTAATGTTGAGATATTTCTATTTCAGCCTAACTGACAGCATTTTATCTAATGATCTGCTTGCACTAATTTCTTCATGAATTGTTTGTGGTGTAATAAAACCATCACACCTAACATGGTTTCTTCTTTACATTGTGCATTGTTGCAGAGTTGAATTTGACTATAAACCAGGCTCTGATAAAAGATTTTCCCCCTATTAGTCTTGGTTAGGGCATGTTAGGCTAATGTTCATAACTTCCCCTTTAAGTTTCCTTCTCATTTTGCGCTCACCGCCCCCACTTCTTTTACACCTGCCTTCCTCCTGTGCCATGCAGCATCCCTGACTCTGGCGTGTACTATGACTCCCGCCGCTTGTCTCGGTTCAGTTCCCAGCCTAACCTGCTGACGACGGAGCACCTTATCGCCTATTGAACACACGACTGGTCCCGGGGGAGAGTGGAGCCTATTTTGTAATGACGAGCTCCTTAACACAGCATCACCTCCGATCATATTACTGCGGCACTGACAGCTCGGCCGAACCAGGCGGCAGGATGCGGCTTTTGCAGTAGACCAGACACACCCCCTGTGTTTTCATCTTTAAGCGCTGGAAAACAACTGCTTTTTGGGGGGCTTTCTTCACCTATGGCATCATGCCTCCATCGGACCTAATTGAGCGCAATGACTGGAAATGATGTGATTTACGGCTGACAGATCTCTCGCGGTAGCATAGTGAAATCCCTCTTATTCCACGCCCTGTCAGTAAAGCTCTGGTTTGGACCATGTCCCCCCCAGCATCAGCAGCGACGACCACCGAAAACAGCACCACCACCGTGTTCGAAGAGGACACCAGAGAAGAGGTAGGCTACAGTGTAGTAGAAAAACCTTCATGGCGGCGTTGTTTGTCAAAATGTGTCGCAGGGCTTTGGTCTCTGCACCGTTAGGAGTAAAAAACTGATGATTGTGGTTCTTAATGTGTTCAGTGAGCGTGCCATGGAGATGATGTGAGGATCACTTTTACTGAATAATTTATAGCAGCCCCAAGTAAATGTGTTGTAGTAAAACAGCCATTAGCCTCTTTCAGACTAATAGTAGCCTATTGTAGGCACATAGGCCATTTGTGTGTGTGTGTATGAATTGCCTTTTTTTTCTCTCGATTTAGGCCTACTCTAGAGGTGTAAATGTAGTGAAATGAAAATTAATTTGTCTCTTTTTTGCTCAACAGCAAAAGCCCCTCAAACAGTCTCTGAGCAAGTCCTTGTGCAGAGAGAGTTTTTGGAAATGCTTGATTCTGTCCATCCTCATGTACGGCTGTATGGGAGCCATGGTGTGGTGTCATGTGACCAAGGTGACCCGGCTCACCTTTGACAGTGCGTTCAAAGGAAAGTCTATGATGTACCATGACAGCCCCTGCTCCGATGGCTACATCTACATCCCTCTGGCTCTCCTGGGCATGCTCTACCTGGTGTACCTGGTGGAGTGCTGGCACTGCCATGTGAAAAATGAACTTCAGCACAAAGTGGATGTGGAGGGCATCTATGAACGCATACAGAGAATGCAGCAGGCCAAACCCTGTATTTGGTGGAAGGCCATAAGCTATCACTACGTCCGACGGACTCGTCAAGTCACACGCTATCGCAATGGAGATGCATACACCAGCACCCAGGTGTACCATGAACGTGTAAACACCCACGTGGCAGAGGCTGAGTTTGACTACAATCACTGTGGTGTTAAAGATGTTTCAAAACAGCTGGTGGGCCTAGAAAAGTCTGCTCTGACAAAGATGCGTTTTACTAAGTGCTTTAGCTTTGCCAATGTAGAATCAGAGAACTCATACCTTACACAGAGAGCAAGGTTTTTTACAGACAATGAAGGGCTGGATGACTACATGGAGGCACGGGAGGGCATGCACCTCAAGAACATTGACCTGAAGGAGTATGTACTAGTGTTATCAGACCCAGAGCACCACCCCTGGTATCTGTCCCAGTATGTCTTCTGGTTTGCCTCTTTCCTCACCTTCTCATGGCCCCTCAGAGTGTTCACTGAATACCGCACTGCTTATGTGCACTATCGAGTGGAGAAGCTGTTTGGTCATGACTATGTCCCTGTGACCCCCTGTGATGAGCGGCCATACTGGCGCCGCATCCCTCGCGTTAACACTATAGATAGCACTGAGCTGGAGTGGCACATCCGGTCCAACCAGCAGCTGGTGCCAAGTTACTCTGAGGCTGGCCTCATGGACTTGGCCACGTGCCCCTCCAGCTTCAGTGGGATTCGTCAGAACTGTGAGCGCTGCCACAGAGCCATCAGCTGCTCCTCAGTGTTCTCCAGGAGCGCCCTCAGCATCTGCACTGGGGCCAGCTCCAGGATCCCCTTCAGCAGCAGTCGCTTCTCTCTGGCCCGACGCTATGGCTCCCAGCGCAGCTGCTTCTGGAGAAGCGGCAGCCTGGATGACCCGGAGAGCCCCAGTGAGAACACACGCTGCCTGTCCGAGCGCCACGCCACAGACGATGAAGAGCCGCCCGAATATGAGGACGCACTGTGTTACCCTGTGCTCATTGTACACTGCAGTGAAAACTGCCACAGCCACAGGTCCTTCCATAGAAACGGCTCCTGTGTAGAGACCTCTCTATGATTATGCACTTCACATGCAGGCACATAGACAGTGTACACAAGAGTGTGCAAATCCAAAAGTGATTATTGCAATCTGAATGTTTGAATTACCAAAGCAATAAAGACCTGTGCAGAGCGTCTTCATGGCTTCCACTGAAAAATATCAGACAAAGTGACTGTTAGTGACGTGATCCTGCCACTGCAATTACCTCATAAGTTCTATTGGGGTCACAGACATGAACACATCTCATGTTCAATGTGAATTTGCAGTAAAGTGACTATTTGAAATCAATTAAGGTAGCTAGAATCAAGACTGTTAAGGCTGGCTGTCATTAAAGCAATAGCATCAAACAATCTGATCTGATTTTCAGGCTTCTTGTGATAAAATGTAATTTTGTATTTTCCATATTCATAGTCAGAAACTGAATGAGCCTTCTCTTGGTACACACTGATTTCATGTTTTTTAAACTAGAATATTTACAAAGAATACCTCTTTCTGTTAAAACATCATCATAAGGTTGTGTTGCATTAAATTGGATGCAGAAATCTAACACCAATGTTTACAGTTTTATCAAAATATGGCCTGACTATATGTGCCATTAGACAAAAAACCCTTTCCTGTTAATTGTTGGCTATAACGTTTTTAAAACTCTGGTTTTCCTTTTGATCAGCAATTATGTTTACATTAAATATCCAATATTTGGATGTTATTGTAGAAATTGATACTATTACGTGTATACCCAAGGTTCTATGTGTTTAGCAGCAGAAATATGATGAATCTTTGCATGTGGTATAATCTGAACCAAATCTGCAATCATATCATAATGTAAAGTCATGTCTGTTGTTTGTCTATTGGTAAAAAAAATAAATAAAAAAATGTTTTGGGGGTAATCCATCCTGTGTGTGCTCAGGGCATAGAAGGCACACATCAAACTGGCACTGGCTTTTCCGATACATGGTCCAACTACAGAAATGTATGGATACACAGTATATGCAAGGGGTTTATGCACTTATTTTTACATGTTGCCATGATATATTTTTTTCTTCTACAAAGAACACAATAATCAAGTTAATTTATTAATATCATTGTGTTCATGAGTGCCACCTATTATGCACTTGGAAGTTAATAGACATTATGAATTGTAGAAAAATGTGAATGTTAATGTAGCTTATATTAGTTATGTAAAGGAATGCATATACAGTGATATGTATTTCTACTTAAAAATGACCAAGGCCCAAATGTGACAATATCCCTGATACTTTAAATAGTCATCTTAATACAACTGATTGTATACATTTCTTGATTACCTTTTAAACTGTAATTGCATTTATTTACACTGGGAAAATAAACAGTCCAATAAACTTATGTGTATTAATAATCCACTATATTTTTATTTTCTCGTATGCTGCTTGTTGGATTTTGTTCACAAATTCAATTTTAGTGCTGCTACTAGCAATTAGCTAATTTTAATAGTCAACTAGTCAGCAATTGACTTGTCAATATTTCAGATTAATTGACTAGTCAAATGATTATTTGTAGTTAACTGAACTGAATATATTTTAACCAGATAGAGGCTGAATTTTTTTAATTCGATAAATCAAGAAAAATTATGATAATCAAAATACAATTAGCGTCACAATATTCCAGTCCTATTAAATATTTGCTACTTCTGAGTTGAATTTATTATATCAGTGGAATAAATTTCATAAATACTTAAACTCTGTATTAAAACCGTGAATAAATCAAATTAAGCGTTTTACAGTCAATTATTAAAACACATCAACATACAGTAATACCTTGGGGTTTTGGCCAGTAATTGTAGTTTTCTTCCCGACCAGTAGGGAGCAGTGAAACGTTCCGATTGAGAGGATACGTCCTCGTCAAAGAAAAAAGCACGTGTTCTTCTGTAGTGTCAACATGGGGAAGAGGAGGCAAAACAAGACAATTTTCACAAATTTATCCAAAAAACAAAAGAAACATCTAAAGGAATTTGGAGAGGAGCACCCTTTTCATGACATGTAAGCACTTTTAACCTCTACCTCGCAGTCAAGGAGAGATTCTAACAATGCAAAAACTAGCACAACTGCATTGAGATTTGTTTTTAACAGTCAGTTTAGTAAGATTTTTTATTTATTATTATATTTTTTTTTTATATGCGAAATAATAGTATTACATAGTGCAACAGCTTACCTATTGAAATTCTATGTGTTTTAGAGTAAATGAAAAACCAGAAAGAACTCAAATACTAGAACTGGTGAGTACTAGTAGCATTTTGATGCCATGTGTTAGCAGCATAATCGGTTATGATGACAGGCTGAAATCAGTATTATTTTATTATTGCAGCCTGACAGCCCAGAGCAACCCACGGTGCATGATGATGAAGCTGAGGACTATGAGGAAGAGCCAGAGCAGAAGACTGCATATCAAAAACTCCTTTCCACTCTGGATCCAAATCAGGGCTCAAGTGAAGAGGAAGACAGCAGTGATGAAGATGAAGAAGAGTACGAAGAGGAGCTTGTCAGTGAAGGCATGTTAGACTTTCCAAATTTATAGCTAGCGACCATGTAATTAACCAAGTAAGTAAGTGACTTTTTCAATCTTGCAGGCAGTGACGGAGGAGATGAAAGTGAAGAAGGTGAAAAAGAAGAAGGGGATGTAGAGGTGTATCATGATGATGATTCAATTGAAGTGAAAGAGAATACTGCTGAGGAGAACAAATCACCAGATGGAGAATTCATTGACCAGGAAAATGAGTCCCTTTTTTGCCTGGAGAACAACTTTGAACATGGGGAAGAAGAGAAGAATGAAGACAATGCAGAGAGGGAGCATAAAAATGATAAAGGTAAATAAATGTATCTTAAATCCTACATTAAGTTTATGTTTTGACAGTTTCTCTGTTGTTATTTGTTAGATTTGTTTGTACAGCATTTGGACACAGAGCTCAGTGAAGAAGATATTGAAAAAATCACAACAGGCAGCAAAGTGAAGACCCAGGTTAAGGTATTTGTCCAAGACAGATGTTTCTTCCAAAATTTTGATATCAACTTGTGATTCAATCTTTATTTAAAATTATATTCACTTTCTGCAGTGGCCAAAACTGGGAAATCTTCTCAGCCATAGTACACTGGAAAGGTTTGGAGTCATTGGTACTCAAAAGGACACACCTCTTCCAGTTTTCCATAAGCTTATTGAAACATCATGGAAGGACTTGAACCAAACTTTTGATTCACCAGAAGAAGTTACTCCACTCCAGATTGAGCTGCTATCTCTCATGGGCTCCTACCGGGACATCTGCTATCCTGAAATGTGTCCGATCAAACAAGGGCCTCAGGTTCGCAGTGCCTACTGTGTACATGTGCTCAATCATGTCTTGAAAGCAAATTCCCAGGTCCTGGCTCACAGTGCTCAGCTACGAGAACAGAAAAGTCAAGCAAAAGCAGAATCTGAGCCACAGGATGAACCACGGGATCAAGGGCTAACCAGACCAAAAGTAAATAAGTATATTGATAAGGATTTTGTAAAATAAATACAATGTTGTTTTTTTTTCTTAAATCCATGTTTCACATTTTCTAGGCCTTGATTCTAGTGCCATTTCGAGATAAAGCTTTGCATGTTGTCCAAACGCTCATTGGTTTATTAGAAACTAAAAGCAAAAAAATTGTAGTGAACAATAAGAAGAGGTTCAAGGAGGAATTTGGTGAAGATCCAGAAGACAAACCTTCTAATTTAAAAAGGCCGGATGATTACCATGCAGTTTTTTCTGGCAATGTGGATGATCATTTCAGGATAGGTAAAGAGAAATGAAATACACAGGGACTCAACAGAGCAGAAACTGTATCTTGTAGTAATTCTCCCTTCTTTTGACACCAGGTGTTTCAATTATCAGAAGCAGCATGCGGCTGTATGCCCCCTTCTACTCGTCAGACATCATCATTGCGTCTCCTCTGGGCCTTCGGACTGTGCTGGGAGCTGAAGGGGAGAGTAAAAGGGACTTTGACTTTCTTTCTTCAATAGAGATTTTAGTGGTGGATCAGGCTGATGTATTTCTGATGCAAAACTGGGAACATGTTCTGGTAAGTAACATCAACCCCCCCCCCCTGTTTTCAACAATAGTTCTGTTGCCTAATTTAAACCAGCATCTCAATGTGTGTTTGTTTAATCATTATGTATGCAGCATGTGATGAAACATATGAACCTGCAGCCATTGGACTCTCATGGAGTGGACTTCTCCAGAGTGAGAATGTGGAGTCTAAATAACTGGGCCAAACACTACAGACAGACTCTGGTGTTCAGTTCGATACAGGACCCACAAATCAACAACATCCTCTCCAAGCACTGCACCAACTACAGAGGCCAGGTGGGTCACTGTAGTCTGTTTACGTCAGCTACCGATCCTGCAAGTGCCACTTTTGGTTAAACCTGCATTTGAGTTTGCCTCATAATGATAACATAGTTGATGTAATAATTATCTAAAAGAGAAAAACCCATACTTAAGTTGTTTTCCATAATCCAGGACAGAAGTTCTCAAAATGGGGATACTGACATTCTGGTGATGAACAGGCTTATCCTTGCTGTACTTTTATTTGTTTTTATTTATGTAAATTTATTTTATTAATATAGACTTGCTGCTATAGTGCTGGTTTACCTTTGGCTTAGAATAGAACTTATCTCATATGGTTAGTGTTGTTTTTATCAAAAATCTCAAATCAGAGATCAGCTTTTCAATTCTAGTCTTGTACACTTCTGCTTTTTACTTCTCAATTTGTTACTTTGAGAACTTTTGTATTTAATTGTTTTTCATTTTAGGTTGTTACTAAAAACATTCCAAAAACAGGCTCCATCTGCCAGGTGTTGGTCCAGTTGCCTCATGTATTTCAAATGTTCCATTCAGACAGCTTTATGGACCAGGATGCTCGGTAAGATAGTTACTGCAAGATTTCTATATTTCAAGATGAAGGCATTGAATTATTTTTGCTTTCTTATAGGTTCCGGTTCTTTGTGGATAAAGTACTTCCTCAGTACAAGGACTCAGTCATGTCCCATACAATGATCTACATTCCCTCTTATTTTGATTACATCCGTTTACGAAACTACATGAAAAAAGAAGAACTGAACTTTGCCAGCATTTGTGAATACTCCAGCAAGTCAGAGGTGTCCAGGGCCAGACACTTTTTTCAAAAAGGAGATAAACAGTTTATGCTCTTCACAGAACGCTTCCACTACTACAAAAGGTCAGTAGCACGAGTGGTCCTTGTAACATATGATTAACATGCAAGTTGTTAAGTTCAAAGTACAAAATGTTATTATGCTTAAAGTTAAATAATGTTATATAAACCTTGACCTTTTAATGTGGTTTGTCTTTCTCTAGGTATACAATCAAAGGGATCCAGAACTTGATATTCTATGGGCTACCGTCTTACTCACATTTCTACAGTGAGGTCTGTAACATGCTGTCCGAGGGGGGCCAAGGAGAACAGGCCAGTTGGACATGCACTGCCCTGTACTCTCGCTATGATGCCCACAAACTGGCAGCCATTACTGGAGCTCAGAGAGCAGGACAGATGCTGCATTCAAACAAGTCAGTTCATCTTTTTGTGACTGGAACAGAGGACAAAGCAACATGAGAAAGATGTAAGAGAGAGATCACTCCAGAGAACTGATGTAATTAGATAGGCCATAACCAATAATATGACTATAAAAAAAAAAAAAAACGACTAGTACATTTGCAGTTGAATAAACATTTAAAATGACAATGATAGATCATTTAAATCTCTGTCTTTTCCTTTCTATTTTTCTATGTTAAAGATGGGATATACATTCATACTATATTCATATTAATAATTTAATTCTCATCTTTAATGGCCTGTATCTTGGACTATAAACTGTCTACCTTTTTAATAACATTTTCTGTATCAACTGTGATTCTCAAATATTGTATTTTGTGTATACATGTATATTCAGCATATAATTAGCACTGCATGTGTTTTAAGACACGCCTCTTTAATTATTAACTCCCTGACTTGGCCAACACTGACTTTGGTCACACAAATACAGTGGATTCCCTCCGTGAAAGGTGTCCCTACACCAGGTGCTGACATGGATGAAAAGACACAGAAACTGAGCCTGAAGCGTGAGGTGGGGTTGATAGGAGCGATCTCCCTCATCGGCGGGACCATGATTGGTTCTGGGATCTTCATGTCTCCACAGACTGTGCTGTACACCATTGGCAGTCCTGGTGCCAGTTTGGTGGTGTGGGCATGTTGCGGAGTCTTGGTGATACTGGCGTCCTTCTGCTACGCCGAGCTAGGCACTGTCATTAAGGAGTCCGGAGGAGAGTATATCTACATCATGCGGACCTCAGGCCCCGTGATGGCCTTCGTGTTGATATTTAGCTCAGTGTTGTTTGTCAGACCGGCTGGAGTGGCTGGTATTGCTCTCAGTTTTGCTCAGTATGTTGTGGCTCCTTTCTACTTGGAGTGTCCTCCTCCGGTGGTATTGGTCAAGTGTGTGGCAGCCGCTGCCATTCTGGTACTAGCCACTGTAAACTGCCTCAATGTGCGCTTCTCCATGTCAGTCCAGGTGTTTTTTATGGTGGCCAAAGTTCTGGCTCTGGCTGTCATTATTGTAGGAGGTGTGGTCATGTTATTTAAAGGACACACTGAAAACTTTGAGGACTCTTTTGAAAATACAAATGTCGGAATCAATCCTATTGGTATTGCTTTCTACCAGGGGCTGTGGTCCTATGATGGCTGGAACAATCTCAATTACGTGACTGAGGAGCTTAAGCGCCCAGAGGTAAGAGAGAAAAGTTGAAGTAAGCATTGAGGTAATTTTGCCCAAATCACTTATATTTATTTATATACTTTTATTTTTTACAACTGGTGAAGATAAATATGTGTCTTAACAGTGAAGGCAACTTTTTTTTAAAAGCAACAATTGTGTGAAAATCGAATTATTTCACTTTATAACATCTGTATTTGTATGTTGCTTTCAAATGATGGATTGTTTCACATGTTTGAGCATGCATGAATGCCTTAAGCTCAGCCCCACCTGAGTAGGAGTCTATAAAGAGGTCATTGTGCTGGGACATTGACACTTATTGGTGATGGCCAGTGAGAAGTGCACGCTTAGCCTGCAGAGGGAGGTGGGGCTGCTGGGAGCAGTGTCCTTCATTGCTGGGACTATGATTGGTTCTGGGATTTTCATCTCTCCTCAGTATGTTCTCACTGTTATTGGCAGTCCTGCTGCCAGCCTGATCATCTGGGCATCATGTGGATGTCTGGCTATGCTGGGAGGCCTCTGCTATGCCGAGCTGGGCACGGTTATTCCAGAGTCTGGAGCAGAGTATGTTTACATGCTGCGGACTACAGGGAAAGTCACAGCCTTTCTGTTTGTGTTCAGCTTTGTGAATGTCATGAGACCGGCCAGTGCCACAGGGATCGCTCTGAGTGTGGCTGAGTATGTGGTGGCTCCTTTTTACAGTGACTGTACCCCTCCACAGCTACTGGTCAAGTGCGTAGCAGCAGGATGCATCCTAACTCTGGCTATTGTTAACTGTTTAAGTGTGCGCACTGCCACACTCATCCAGGTCCTCTGTACTGCAGTCAAAGTGCTTGCTCTCACTGGCATTGCCCTGGGAGGCTGTGTGATGCTTTTCCAAGGAGAAACTGGGAGTATCAACTCTTTTGAAGGAACAAATGTTGGTGTGAATTCCATTGGCATAGCCTTTTATCAAGGGCTATGGTCCTATGATGGCTGGAACACTCTGAACTTTTTAACTGAGGAGCTGAAACATCCAGAAGTAAGGTGTTTTGGCTACATTTTAAAGAACCAAATGTGGCGGATTAAAAATCTTGCTTTGTGTTCTGCTAAATAGGTCGTTTGGTCATTTGTCATCCATAATACACAAATATTTGAAAAATGGTTCAACTGAAACTTTGTAAATTTGCTTAAAATATAATGTAGCTTTAACTGATGTGTTATCTTTTCTAAGTGTGATAAGGGTTTATGATGTTATGTGTCTGTAATTGGTAGTGGGTAAAACCTGTTATAACCCATTGCGATGACCCTTGCATAGGTGGAGAATTGTTATGACCATGGCTTTAATCATAAATGTTCAAACTGTGGTGAAGTCAGAGTTAAACATTTACATTTCTCCAAAATGTTTTTTTTCATGTTATGTATTAACTTTCTAACTAAAAATGTTCACATGGCCATGGCCTTTTCTAGCTTAGTAAACCAAAAAAATAAAAAATCTCTATATATCTATATATGTATGTATGTATGTATATGTGTATGTATGTATGTATGTATGTATATGTGTGTATGTATGTATGTATGTATGTATGTATATGTATGTATGTATGTATATGTGTATATGTATGTATGTATATGTGTATATGTATGTATATGTGTATATATGTATATGTATATATGTGTATGCATATATATAATGTATTTATTTATTTTTGAATGAATTATTTATTTATTTTTTAATTCTTACCACTGATACTGTATCCCAGGTGAACCTCCCCAGGGCTGTTATCATTGCCATTTCCTTGGTCACTGGATTGTACCTGCTTGTCAATGTCAGCTACCTCACTGTGATGACCCCCAAGGAGCTCATGATGTCAAATGCAGTAGCAGTTACATGGGGGTAAGACAGTTTCTCCCTGTTTTTTTTGTTTGTTTTCGTTTTCAATTGGAAAATGTTTAGGATGAAATTTTTTTTGCAGGAACAAGGTGTTGGGAAGCTGGGGCTGGATTATGTCAGTGGCTGCTGCGCTGTCTGCATTTGGATCTCTTAATGGGACATTCTTCAGTGGAGGCAGAGTCTGCTTTGTTGCGGCTAGAGAAGGACACATGGTAAGCATTGGTTTTTAAATATATTTCCTTTTCCTTTCACCAAAAATATCATCATTAAATCCTTATTTCTGTTACATTGGTCCTGATCACTGCTTCATTCTGTGGTTGCCTGTTGGTACAAGTAGTAATAAAAAAATTTAGTTTTATTTTTTTTTGCATATCCTTATCTGGATGTTAATCAACTTGAACCACTGCATATTATTTCTTTCTGGCATGGCTTCAGGTTAGGTATAGGACACTATTTTGTGCCGTAAGATCTCGTGAGACTAAATTAGCCTAAAATAGTACACAGATGAGAAAATTGAGAGATTTTATTCCATGTGTTTACGTTTCGATTGGATAAAAAGGGTAAAACATCAGATAAATTACATCTCTTATAGTTCCAAGTAGCAGTACTAGAATGCCAACAAAAATATTAAATGAAATAAATTTAACATTTTGAGGCCAAAATTAGAAATGTATATAATTGGGAATTGCACAATTTATATATTAGGAATTATGTTAAAATCTCATCTTGCCTCGTTCTCGTGGACAGAATCTCATACCTCGTCTCATCTTGTGGAAATTGTGTCTTGTCTGTGGTGGAGATACTATATATTTTATGCTACACTGTGAATACCCAGGCTGCAGGACACAGAGCAGGGACACTTTTATCTTAAGGGCTTTTGTTTAAAGTGCCCTGACATAGGCTCTGACTGCTCGTGTATAGTGACAGATACAGGACTACATTCATACCATATTCCATACAACTGTACAACAACTATACCCTTAGGTCATAGATAGCCCTATGTCCATGTCCTGTCAATCATCATATCATCATTGCACAGTTTTACTTATGATCTTACGACTTACGATTTTTATTTTTCTAATTTATTTTATACTTGTACATTTATATAATTATACCTTATTTGACACCAGTCTTGCTATTTTTTGCTACTTATTTAGAATTGATTATTACCATTTCCAGTTTTTACTTTTTATACTTACTTTGTTATTATAATATAATGTTATGTGTGAGCTACTGCAAGTAATTTCCCTTGTGGATCAATAAAGTTTGTTTAAGTCTAAATCCTGTTATGCTGCATTAGGCTATCTATTCTTTTAAATGCTCTGTGTTCTTTATTCATCCTTGGGATTAATACATTTATTTTCATTGATCATATTTCAGCCGGATATTCTGGCCATGGCTCATGTGCATAGACTGACTCCATCTCCAGCCCTGATTTTCACCACGTTTGTCTCTTTGCTCGTTCTCATCCCTGGAGATTTTCAGAGCATTGTTAACTATTTCAGGTAGGACATGCTCAAGTATTTATTTAATTTCCTACAATTTCTTTGGAACCTAACATTTCTTTCATTGTCTCACAGTTTTACAGCTTGGTTTTTCTACGGGATTACACTATCTGGACTCATATATCTCAAGATCAAAAGACCTGATCTGCCCAGGCCTTACAGTGTTAGTGATATTGTTCATTGTTATACAACTGTTGTAAAAGAAAAAAGAGAAATTACATAACTGTGTATCACTTATACTACTTATACTTACTTAGATTATTTGTTCACAGGTTCCCATCATACTCCCAGTAATAGTCATCATTGCTGCAGTCTTCCTTGTATTAGCTCCTGTTATTGACAGTCCTCAGATTGAATACCTCTATGTGGCTTTGTTCATCGTGAGTGGAGTTATCGTCTACATCCCGTTCATTCATTACAAAGTATGTCCTGGCCTGCTGACAAAACTCACTGTGTTCCTGCAGTTGTTCCTAGAAGTAGCACCAGCAGATAAAAACATATGATTTGTTGTATAGAAATGATGACAGTAATTAAACCAGTCATTTTGGTTTACTATGAGCTAGTTTCATTTTCTCTGCACTATTATGTAATTTAGTCCAGATTTAGGTTTTCTATTTATTTTATTTTTCCAATGTTTTACCTCATTTTATATTTAGTTTTTTATAGTCTAATATACTGAAGCATTATCAGTGCTGCATGTAAGTTTAGTACAGTAATGTGATATGCTGTTTGACATTTTCACTGTTTGTCTCCACAACTTTAAAATAATTATGTAGTAAATAAAAAGTAATTTATGGTTAATTGTCATAATATGTAAACAGCAAATGATGAATGATGTTTTTTCTGATCCAGGCCAAATTACTTGACTAATTTTAGGTACGCTACATCAAGATCATTGTACACACCTGCAAACCTAGCTATGTGTTCTTTGTTTCACATTGCAAACAGGATATATTTTGTGTTATAACCCTAGTAAATACTACATACACTACAGTATATTACAGAAACTGAGTTTAGTCAAACAAGCCAGTGTACAAGCTATTTATGTTTTTGTGACTCTATAAACCTGAGATGCCCTTGACATGTATAAGCTTTAAAACGAATACTGAAGGTTAATCTCTTGTGTGATAACAATACTACCCTTATGGTGAATGATTTAGGAATGATGAGGAGGTTACACCAAAAGATTAGATTGTGGTAACCCAGTGTAAGTATCTGGGCACAAACAGTGTCTGGTCTAAACTGGGATCCCAACTGTGAGGCAGTGTGTGAGAAGGGACTCCAGTGCCTGCACTAAATCTGGAAATGTGCTGCTTTTTAATTTGGACAATGATTCTAATATTTTTATTTTCTGCTTTTATCAATTTTAGCCTTCTGTTTGTTGTCTTGGTTTGGAAGTGTCAGTCAAGAACAAAAATGCACCTTCTTCTCAGATTGTGAAATGGACACAGTGTGATGTTGAGTCTACCAGTCAGTTGCAGCCTGCAAAGACTAATCTCTATAGTATTAGAACCAGAGCCACTAACCTCCATCGGGCCAAGGCCTGGACCAAAATGCAGGACTAAAAGATACACTCAGCCGCAATATCCTTTTACATGAGATCATCTGAGAGCACATGGTGGGTGTATTTCTTAATGCAGATTTGATATAATTTTATTTCAGCAACAGAAAAAAAGCCATACAATTAAATACAAGAGAAAATACGTGAAATAATAATAATAATAATAATAATGAGAGAGAGAAACAAAAAGGAAGTTACTGCTGTAACTAATCCATGGGTTTCTGGAAGGTTACCCACTGAATGGAAGAAAAGTCCTCAAAATGTTGCTTACAAACGGAAACTGAAACCCTCTAGTGTAGTAAGTGTACAGGTAACTACTCCCTCTGGTGGCCGTCTGACAGAAATACTTGTGTGATGTGTGAAAAGCCTGAGAACCACTACTATAGTCTGCATGTCTCACACTTAAACTAGCCACCCATTTTAACTGCTCTATGAAGAGTAGTTTGGTATAGGCCTACTGAGTTTATTTTGAAATTGCTCAAACTATTTAAAAAATGTCATTGTAATAGCATCCTTCATTTGGGGCTCATTTCCCCATAAGGGTGGATACATTTGCCCATCTAAGACTCCATGGGCCTTATGCCAGATAACCATTATTCAGAAACAAGAGGACTCATAGTTAAGGGAGGTAAGGGTACATTCTGAAGCAAATAAAAAAAACTGTTGGTAAAAGGCTAATTTTTAGGCTATTATTAATTCAACCAATGGTAGAAACGGGCAGATTTGACCAGATGATTGACTTGTTACTGATTGGAAAATGGGCCCATAATTGACTGAGATTAAATTGTCTAATGATTAATGCTGTTTAAAAACCCAGAGAGGGCCATGACTCACGCTGGACATATTGATAGAGATGATTTGGAAACAGAAAACAAACTGATAATATAATCAATAAACCTTGAATGGATTGTTTGAGATTAGGTAAGAAACAGAATGACTGTGGTGTGATGCCTCTTTATCACCTCAAACCACATTTACCGAAAGGTACGGATAAAGACAACTAAGTGTTGTTTAAAATGTATTCTGCATTCTGTAACTCAAGTAGATTTACATTTTACATCACTCTTCTCATTGTCTTTCTTTTCAACTAAACTGAAAGTGACATAAACATTAATTAATGAATTCACAATTGTCTGCAAATTATTCATTTAATTTTGTATTTTGTAGCACTGCACACAATGAGTAAGGACAATAAAGTTTAAATGTTTAATTTAAATCAGTTGCAAATCCTGTACTGTGATCTGCATCATTGTTAATACAAAATATACAAAATATAATATAGCTCGTTCGATGTATCCATAGCCATAAAATAGGTCGTTATCAGTGACTGCAATATTCAGTCACGATGAAGTGTAATGATTGATATTTCAATTTATTAATGAATAACTTTCATTTGATTTTGACACCTGCTGCTGTGCGATACACATTGCCATTTAACAAGTCATTAAGACAGCCATGGAGAACCAACCTGAGGGCCTCAAAATAAAGCGTGAGATAGGGTTGATTGGTGCAATATCACTTGTTTCGGGGACTATGATTGGATCTGGTATTTTCATGTCTCCACAGTTTGTATTGAGCTATGTGGGAAGCCCTGGAGCCTGTCTGTTGGTATGGGCCCTGTCTGGAGTTGTGGCCATGTTTGCAGCCCTTTGCTATACAGAACTCGGGACAATCTTCACTGAATCCGGAGGGGAATATATTTACATCCTACGTACCTATGGCTCGTTTCCTGCGTTTTTTGCAGCAATACATTTGATTGTGCTTTCAAAACCATTTGGGCTTGCTGCAATATCCATCAGTATTTCAGAGTATGCCCTGACACCGTTTTTCCCAGGCTGTGCTCCTCCTTGGATGGTGGTCAAATGTGCGGCTGCTGGGGCCATTCTGCTGGTTGCCACAGTGAACTGTCTAAATGTCCGCCTTGCCATCAGAGTTCAAGTGGTCTTCCTATTAGCTAAAGTGCTGTCTTTGAGTATAATTGTGATTGGAGGAATAGTGGCAGTAGCACAGGACAGCAGGATCTTTATGGATAATTTAAGAGTTGAAAATTCCTTTGTTGGTACTGAGACTTCTGTGAGCACTTTTGGAATGGCCTTTTACCAAGGGCTCTGGGCTTTTGCTGGATGGTACAACCTTAATTTTGTCACTGAGGAGTTGAAAAGACCAGAGGTAAGATATAAAGAGTCATATGCAGCTCTGTTTCCCTTCTTTTACCTTTAGCTATCAAGTAAAAGGTCTGCCTTTTATTTTACTTACTGATGGTCCACAGTCCTGATTTAGACCTGGTTTAGTTTTTAATCATGGTTCTTCTAATTTAGGTTGTTGGAAGAATTGGCACTTTGGATCTAGACTAAGTCAGGTCCTAGCTTAGTCTAGGTTTCACCCTTGTTCTGTACTCATTCCCAGTCAACATACTAGACTGAAATAAAAACTGGTTGGCGCTCTATTCAGATGTGTTTATCTGAACTCTGGACCCAAAAGGTTGAATCTACAGGATTTATATGAAGAAGTGTAAAAATGCACTACAGGGTGAGTTTGACTAATCCTAAAGTTGTTCATCTACGTATAGATTAGAGGTCTGTGCAGGACTGAATTTTCAGTCACCCACATCTGTGATATTTTGTCCCGCTCCCGCCAGCAAATCCCGCAAGATAGGGATGTTCTCTTTCTTAAGCTCTACCAAACATGGAGAAGCAGAAAGGAATTGTCTAAAATGTGCATGAGATTAAACCACATGAGCAACTTTTTTTTAAAAATGGTTTCATTAAGGCCAAATAAAATATCCAGCACAAATTATGGATGATAGACATACATTCATCATTTGTATATTTTACATTACACTCATATTTAGTTGCAGTTGTATCATCCCACCCGGCCGCACCCGCAATGAGCTTTCAAAATGTGTCCCACGCAGCACTGTTTTGCGTCGGCTCTCGCCGGTGCAGGGCTCTAGTGCAGATTAAGCCACGCTTCACTGTTGCTCAGTTAGCTTTTATTCTTTTTCTTATGATGCTAACGTTCACCTTGAAAAACTAAAAGGATAATATAAATTTATCAGAAATATATAAACACTAAAAACTATATGCAATAAAACAAAAACACAAATGAACAAACCGTGTGAGCCTTCTGACCATTAACGTTTAGGAGTTATCAGTGTGTATATTTCCTGTGCATTTCTCCGACCTTCTCTGTCCTGTCCTATGTCCTTTCCTATGTCCTTTCCATGCTGTCCATGCTTTTTTTCTCCTATTTTTCTGAACCACATGCACAGGGCGCGTTTACATGCAATGTCCAACTCCACCATTGGGGGTCAGATGCGAGCATCAAAATAAAACGTTCACAACATGGTAATAATAATAACAATATCTGTTGCGACAGCTACAGACATTAAACTGGGACCAATTGGGCCAATATTTATTTCAGTAAATATTGTCTTTGTGTGCCCATTTGCCATTGTCAGGTTGTCCAGGCAACAAATTATTTTATATCCCAGATGATTGCTTTTTTTTTTGTTATTAATTTTAGGGTTATCGGCCACAGCAGCAAGACATCCCTGGATATCAGTATTGACTAATTGTACATTGTTAATTTCAGGTCAATCTCCCCAGAGCCATTGTTATCGGAGTTTCCTTGGTGACTGTATTATATCTGCTGGTAAATTTGAGCTTTCTCTCAGTAATGACCCCCAGTGAGCTTATCTCGTCCAATGCGGTGGCAGTTACATGGGGGTAAGAAATGTTTTAAATTTCCATTCACACACAGTGTAGGGTTGCACGATTTGGTGAAAAAATATCATTGTGATTTTGCATTTACATTTCTGGTATGTTTAAAAGCTAGGTTTCTGTTCAAATTGCATATTGTAAACAATTAATAATAATACCTTCCATTTATATAGCACTTCTCAAGACACCCAAAGCGCTTCACAATAATCACAATAATTCCTGGAGCATCAACATTTAAGAGGAGACTGAAATATGAACTATTAACCTAATAGGAGAATCCCATTAAAACAGATTTGTAGTGGTCTAAACTACAAGATTTCAATTTAAAAAAAAAAAAAGGTCATTTGATAATTGCAACAACTCTAATTGCGATTTTGCTTTGATAGGGATTTATTGTGCAGCCCTAATACACTATTATGTTGTATTTTATTGTTATAATTACATGTTGACCTTAATTCTAGAAACAAGGTGCTGGGGAGCTGGGGGTGGATCATGGCCGTGGCTGCTGCCTTGTCTTCATTTGGATCTTTGAATGGGTCATTATTCGTAACTGGCAGAATTATCTTTGTGGCTGCCAGAGAAGGACATTTGGTAAGAAACTTTGTGGTATTGAAACAAAACTTCATTTCAAATTTGACCCAGGTCCTATTCTTCTAGCCTGATATCCTGTCCATGGCCCATGTGCATAGACTTACCCCTTCTCCATCCCTCATCTTCACTGCCGCCATTGCCTTGGTGGTTCTCATGTCTGGGGATTTTGAAACTATTGTGAACTATGCAAGGTGAGCTTTAAAGTATTATCTATCATTATATTATCTTATGTATTTACAGTGTTTAAAAAAAATCTCAAATTTTCTCTTTTTCAAGCTTCGCGGCCTGGTTCTTTATTGGCATAACAGTGTCAGGAGTAATCTATCTCAGAATTAAGAAACCAGATCTTCCCAGACCATATAAAGTTAGTATATAAAGGTGCACTATGAAATTTTTCTTTTAAGGGATCTGCCACCTGCTTGTATCCATGAAAATGTTATTGCTTTGCCTGAAATGTTCCACAGTATGGCATAAAGCTAATCTATTCAATATGTTCCATTGCTAAATAAATACCTTGAAAAACATGCATTCTCACTGTGAGCAGGGTGTCCTCTTCACAGATCTGAACAGTAGCTTGCCTTTGAAGAGCCATTTGCTTCTCTCCATAGACAGATGGAAGTTCATTGTCATACTGTGGAGTATTCAAAGCAAATCTTTAGTATCTTTAAGTAGACAAGCCGGTGGTGTACCCTCAACCAGAAAAACACAGTGCACCTTTAAACACAGATTATTTGACAAAATGAGCACTGTCTAATACTGTCTGTTTCCTTTGGCGCAGGTTTTCATCTTACTGCCTGTAGTGGCCATAGCCGCATCCATCTTTTTTGTGCTGGCTCCTATTTTGGACAATCCACGACTAGAATATCTCTATGTGGCTTTAGCACTCTTAAGTGGAATCATCATCTACATCCCATTTATTCATTACAAACTTTGGCCTGGTCTGTTGACTAAACTCACTATGTTTCTGCAGCTGTTTCTGGAAGTGGCACCTGCACAAAAAAATGTCTAATTTCTTGCACTTGGAGCAACATTTCTGTTTAACTGTGCATATAACTGAAAGGTTTTCATTTCGCACTCTTCTCTCCAATTTATGTCTCTCTTTTTTAATTTTAATCTTCATGATTATTTATGTTTGGTTTGTTTTTATTATGATTTGAATGTATTTCTTATTCTGTAAAGCACTTTGAATTACTTTGTGTACAAATTGTGCTATACAAATAAACTTGCCTTTCCATTTACATTATATTTACAAATTTTGACCATTAGATTTGAATCAGTACTAATAAATTAACTTCTTGCATTTCATTTATGAGTCCTAATTGGTTCTTTCAGTAAATGAATTTGAGAATATATTCAAATACATTTTTATTGTATTAAATAAATCATATTCACAAAGAGGTTCCCACATGACACTGCCACATTCACTGTACAATTTGGTACATGACAAAAATACTCATTGTAAGAGGTGTTTGCATACCTTTGTACATTACGCTCACAGTCATACTACTCGTCTTGTCCAGTTGATTGCCAATATCAATTAAGATTTTGTAAGTAGTATCTTCAATGTCTGCTAAGGCCAATCAAACCTAGATGTTCTCAGTATATGTCCGTTATTTTCCCACATTTATTCACTTCCTGTCTTGCTCGCTGTACCATTTTTGGATCCATCTTCAGCACTCTTCTCCCCTGTGCTGCTCGCATTGTCCAGTGACATCTGGTGATACAAGGTGTGTAGTCTTTCTGCGTCTCTGTCTGCATCCTCTGCTCCCTCACAGCATTTGATCCATGAGGGTGGGATAGACTCGATGCCATAGTGAGCTCCAGCGATAGCACCTGCCATGCAAGCAATAGTGTCCGTATCCCCTCCTAGTGCAAGGCTGTAGGCAATTGTCCTCTCCAGGCCTCCGTAGTTCTGTGGTAAGCATTCCAGGGGTTTAAGACAGTGAAGGACACAGAAGATGGCAGTGGGGACAGAGTGGAGTGCTGCAATGCCATTACCTGAAAGAAAAATAGAGAACACAGTTTACATTTAAAAGTGGTGTTCATGTTTTTTTTTGTATGTGTGTTTTTGTAATGGTAATGACAAAGGTTTGAGTGAGTTTCAGATGTCAGTTTAATATCTTTGTAAATTTATAAATATCCAAATAGGAAATTAGTTGACTACTACCAGATTGTTCTATAAATGTTTACTCACATATTAATAACACTCTCATATAGTGTAAAATAAACCTAAATGCAATGTATTGTCAATACCACGTACCCAGTTCTGAAATGACTTCCTCGATGCTGACATTGCTCCTTTCCATCAGCTCCTTTACTCTATGAAGTCTTTCACAAAATGGCTTCTCGGCTTCCTTCAAACTGAACAAACAAAGTAAAAATCTGCTAGTTTCAACACAGAACTTCAAAACTTTTACTCACATTCTGGCATCCTTGCGTGTCACATCAGTATCCTCCACTTCTTCCATCTCTGTGATCAGACTATTAATGAACTGTTGAGGTGCCTCTAACGCTCCTTGCAGAGAGAAGTGGACAGCAAGTGCTTGCAGGATTGCACCATTGTAACCCAAAGAGCAAGAGTGCGTCAGCATGGCACCCAACCGGGCACACTAGATACAGAGACAGATAAACTGAGGATCAAAAACAAAAGCAACAAAATATGCCAAATCTTCAGAAATATTGCCTTCACTTACCCTTTTTATATCAGTCGCATTGGGAAAAGCCAGTGCAAAGGGTGCAGCTCTCATTGCACCCCCATTTCCAAAAGAGCCCCGGCCGTTGAACTGGTCCCTCGCTGGCTGGAACACATCACTGAGCCGTGGGCAGGACAGCTTCTTTAACACCTGAATGACCCCAGAACCATATCCACGACCTGGGGAGGCACTGTACTCCTTGGCAAACCTAGAGGATAATAGTTAATGCAATTGAGAAGATTACTGGACAAATCTAGGAGAACAATTTGGAGGGCTATATCAACAAAGCTGTGTGAAATGGGATGACAGACTGTGCGGGTGGTACTGTTAGATTATGTACCTGCGTGCCATATCCTGTTCATCAAACCCAGTTCTCGTCAGAAGAGACTGAACCACACAGCGCGCCATGGCCGTGTCGTCACTGTATTCAAGGACTCCTTCAGTCGTAACAAAAACATTAATATTACAATGCCCGCAATGTGGGAGAATAGCTGTTTATCGACTTATTTATATACCATTCCCTCTCGTCTCGTCATCCAGTCCGCTCAGGTGCGCCAATACGCTTTCCATGGGCACCTCCTCTGCGCCCTCGAACTCCCCGCCGATACAGTCCCCCAAGACCCCGGCCACCAGTGCGCCTCTGAACCGGGACAAAGACGCCGGGCCGCCCGCTGCCATCACTCTAGCTGCGGTAACAGCCATTCATAGGAGTCCAGAGCATACACCGACAATTACTCTTCTAGCTAAAACAGCACGAAAACGACAAAGTCGAGGTTCTGTTGCTTGTTGTAGCACAGGTTTGACACCGCTCCAGACCACAACACCGCAACTCCAGTTCCTTACGCCTACGAATGAATACCGTAAATCTAGAATAAAAATTACATAATTATTACATTTTAGTTGTCGTGTAATTTATTTGCATAATCTCCGTAGATCTTATTACATATATCTAAATACATAGCCTTCGGTAAAATTTGCGCGTAAAACATTCTTAAAAACCTGCATTAAAATCTTAACATTTTCACATTTTTGTTTTGCGCGACTATTTTTGTTTTACGGTAAGACCACATCTATATAGACTGCCCTCTGCTGGTTCGGCGAAATAAAACATAAAACGTGTGCAGTCAAAAGAAACGTTGAAAAGCGCAACACGATGATTGAAAATGTATATTTTAATTCATCTCTTTTAAACTAACAACTTTGCTTCCCCCTTTCCAAGAAAATTTAAACACTCGCCGCTGTTTTTATTGTTATAGCTATGTGAATATTTACAAGTTTTCAACTGATAAGTCACATATTTTGCAGCCTCTGAGTCGCCTGCGCACACAGCCCAAAGCCCGCTGTCCTTTGCGGTGGGTGGATTGTTTAGCGTCTGCGGCATAATTAAAACATGGCGGAGTCGGAGGAGGAATTGAGGCTTAAGCGAATAAAGGTACAAATAAAGCACACTGTAGTTTAGTTTAGCATATACACTTACAAGGTTCTATGTAAAATGCATGTTGAGTTATTTATTGTGCAACCAGCCTGTACTGACGGGCATCAAATCGGATGTCCAGATGTGTAAGTGTGTGCTAGCTAAAGCTAGCTAGCATTGGTTGGCTAGAGCTAACAACTAAATAGTGTTCATGCATCTTGCTCCCACAAACAACATCTTTTATGAAGGAACAATTATAAACGCACATCGTGAACCAAATACATAGAATATTACATTAATTGCATCAATAATTTCGTCTATTAAACATAAACTGAGCTGTGTTGTGGACAAAAGAATGTATTGTAAATGGAGATGTTAGCCTAATTGTATCCTTGCTTATAGGGGCTTTTTGTGGCCGAGTGCATATAACAACTTTAACTTAATATCACATTATATAGTGCTTTGGCAGCATCAATGTCAGCACTGAAAAAGCCATTCTCTTGGTTTGGAATTTGTCAGGATAACATGGAGGATGCATGCACCTATAGTGTAGCAATGCCCCCCCCAAATATGTGTCTTAATCGTGACATAATGACTCAGTCATTTTGGCCCTGTGCAGGTTTGTTTTTTATGTGTATCAGAGCACAAAATAATGGTTGTATTGTAATACAATGGTTCACTTTGGTAACATTGGTGATCTATATGTACCATTAATATAATTGCATTCTATATTTTCATATGCAGGAGGAAGATGAGCGCATGTCCAGAATGTTTGATGAAGTCATGGGGCTTGGAGACTTTGCAGACTCCTCTATAGGTTCAGGCTCTTCATCGAAAAGTGGTCAAGATGAGTCGAAAGTTGTAGAAAAAGATCAGCAACTTGGTGAACAGGACAGCTGCAGCCGACGAGAAGAAAAGATGGATGAGGATGTGGATGAGTTATTTCCGAGCATAGCGTCCTTTTCGTCTGAACCTTCTTTTACTGCAGGAGCTAATGCAGAAAGTGGTGGGGCAGCCCTTGACAATGCGATGGATGCACCTCCGCCGACTGGTGTCGAGGATGATGATGATGACTGGGACTTTAACTTTCCACTTAAAAGTGATCAGTCAAAAGGGGGCAAATCTGAAACCCAAAGTGAAACCTTTCCAGGAGATTCAAGAGAGGCAGAGGACAATGGGAGCATTAGTTCTGCATCTACAACTGCTTCTTCAGTGGCACGTGAAGATGAGAATGGCCAAGGTAATAGAGCTGTCTTCATTTGAATTAGTTGTTGTGTGGAGTTTAAAATCTACTAATAGGCAATATACTATAGAAATTATGCTGTTATATGCTAATTACTTTGATACATGTATTTGAAATACTGTAATTGTTTTCAGGTGTTGCAGAAAGAAGTTCAGAGACAGATGACAGCCAACAGGAACCGGTGAGAACATGGCCAGATATTTTATTTGAAAATTGTCCCAACAACTCACTGTAAAGAATTCTTAACATTAAAAAAAAAAAAAATAAAATTCTACAAATAATTTTACATATTTATTACTATTTAGCTTACCACAAATGTACAAAATAACAATGTATTTATTTGTCTTGTTATAGCCACAGGCAGCTCCCCCAGACAACGTTAATCCGCCTCTGTCTCCTAATGTGAACATCAAAGAAGAGCCCATAGATGAGGAGTATGATGCTGCATTGTTGCCCCAGAACTCCATCAAAGATATCAAAGAAGAACTAGAGCAGGAGGTGAGTATTGGATATAATTTAAGATATTTACTGCCAGGTCTTTTTTTTTTTTTTAACTTTATATGTTTTTCTTTAAGGAGGAGCTCAGGATCAGTTCAGTGTTTTCTGTGGGTGGAAGCAACGCTTTTGCACATCCATCTGGTGAATTATTGAGCAGGGTTAGACTATTATCAATCACTTTTCAATTATGATTCATTTTTTCTGTGTTATGTTTTTAGTGGCAGCACCAGTGCCAGTTCCAGCACCAGTTCCAGCACCAGTTCCAGCACCAGTTCCAGCACCGACTCAACCTACCCCAGCGACAATTTTTCTTCCAGGGAGAGGTACAGTGCCCCAGGTCATAGCTCCTGCCCCTGCCAGAGCACCTGTACCAGTTCTAAATACTGTACCTGCTGCCCCAACAACGACAATGCCCCCCCGTCCTCCTCCACCACCTACTGTAGCTGGTGGTGTGCGCTGTAGTGGATGTTCAAAGGTACTGTCGTAATATAGTAAATATAATACTGTCTTTAATCAATTTATTTTGTTGCATTTAATATAATCAACTTTTATGTGTTCAGATTCTAATGAAAGGTCAAACAGCATTCCAAAGAAAAGGGTCAACACAGCTCTTCTGCTCCACAGTCTGTCTGACTGGACACTTGCCTTTAGTCACCAAAAACCGAACCTGTTTTCAATGCTACAAGTAAGTTTAAAATATTATTTTTAACATGTACCAACTTGATACACTTTGATATAACGTATTGGTGTGTGGAATATCAATATACTAGTGATGGGCAAATGAGACAGAGCTCCGGAGCACGTCTCGTTCTTTCTGAAACAAATTGCTCCAGAACACTGCCTCGGAGCTCGTCTCACAGCAGCCACTCACGTGACCAAAGTGTCGAAGTGTCGGTCCCTCCCCCTCCGGCTTCACTCTCTGTGTCAATCGCTTCAGTGTATTGAAGCGTTTCATTGGCTCAGCGAATGTTTCGCTCTGCGAATGGTTCAGAGTGTTCAGCGCACTTCCATGGATTGACAAGTGCTAAACTGCTACAGTATAAACAATGCACCAATAGTTCTTAAAAATGTTGGGTAGTAAGGAGTATTGTGTGACGTTAGTGGTGATTTTGGTGACTTTTGGCGACTTTTGGCATTTGTTTCATTTTCAATGGCATCTACAAGTGGAAAAAAGCGATCCATGGTTTGGGATCACTTTGATCTAATTCCACCTAATAAGGTAACCTATTTTCTTATTTACAGCATGATATTTATGTTGCTCTTTACATATTATTTTAAATCATCATTATTATTGTTGTTGTTAGATACGGTGTATGCTCTGCACACAAGTATTGTCTTACGCTAACAATACTTCATCGATGCTGAGACACCTGCGTGCTAGGCACAATACTGACCAGAGCCAGCAGTCCACCACAGTCCCTGGCAGCAGTGGCCATTATCCTGACAGTAAGTTATATATTTATGTCAATTATATTCCCATAATTTATGTGACTGTTTTTTAATATAAAGGCTAGATATTAAGTAAGTATAGAGTTCTCATATGAACACACTTCTTTTACAGTGTCTAAAAAGAAGATGTTAGATGAGGCCATTGTTGATTATTAAAGATGGCCAACCATTTTCTATGGTTGAAGGAGAGGGATTCACCAACCTGATGAAAATATTGGATCCTTTGTACAAAGTTCCATGCCGCAAAACTGTAAAAACAATGGTGGAAGAACGCTACCAACAAAACAAAAAGAAGGCCGAAGAAGATTTAAAGAAAGCTTCTGCTGTCAGTTTGACAGCAGACATGTGGACATCCAGAAATATGGATGCATACCTGGGTGTGACCTGTCATTATCTTTCTGACGACCTTGAATTATCAACTGTACTTTTAGGAGTACAGTACTTTTCTGTGACCCACACAGCAGCTCATATTGCAGAAGCAGTATCGACAATCTTTGCCGAGTGGGGAATAACCGATAAAGTGTGTGCCATGGTTACTGATGGGGCCCGCAACATTGTGGCAAGTGTTAATCGTTTATCAATTCAAAATATTCATTGTTTTGCTCACTTGTTGAATCTTGTTGTAAAAAAATCTATTTCCCAAACGTCCGAGCTGGATACAATGCGCAGCAAAGCTCGCAAAATTGTTGGCCACTTTAAATCAAACTGTACAGCAAAGGAAAAGCTGGCTATCACTCAATCCAACATGGGAATGCCACAGTTGAAGCTGGTCCAGGAGGTAGAAACCAGGTGGAATAGCACCTTTGCCATGTTTCAAAGTATGTATGAGCAGAGGGAACCACTAGGCGCTGCCCTTGCATCCCTGACATCAACGTCCAACTTGACATCATTTAGCGCTGAGGATTATGATGCAATAAACCAGTGTTTAAAGGTGTTAAGGCCATTCAACCAAACAACAGTGGAGCTGTCTGGGGAGACCAGAGTATCGGGGTCTAAAGTCATACCCATTACAAAAATGTTAACTCACGTAATTACTGTTGAGTGTACCCAAATGGATGATGGTGTTGGAGCTACACTAGCCACCCACCTAAAAAATAATCTAAAAGAGAAAATGAGCGGCTTGGAGAAAGTCACCTCCCTGTCGTTGGCAACTGTACTGGATCCACGTTTCAAAGAAGTTGCATTTTGCAGCCCATCCAATGCACAGGCTGCTGTTGAGAGACTGTCACGGGAATGTGCCAGCTTGATTGAACTCAGGACTCGGGGTGAAGTTCAACCACAGACCTCTCCAGCCCCAAGTGACGATGACAATCTGTGGGCTTTACTGGACAGCCATGCTGTTGCTCAGCAAACCAGCCCTGCATCTGACAGTGCTACTGAAGAAATCCAAAGGTAGTGTTTCAGCTGACACTTGTGCTATTCATCAAGGTTATATATGGTGTACACATTTTATGCTTTTCTATCTTGCTTTCTAGATACTTGAAGGAACAACATATTCCCAGATGCGAGGACCCCTTAAAATACTGGGAATCACATAAAATACAATATCCTAATCTGTGGAGACTGGCTCAAAAATATCTTTGTATACCGGCATCCTCTGTTCCATGTGAGAGAATTTTTTCCAAAGCTGGTGAGTTAGTGAGTCAAAGAAGATGTAGACTAAAGCCTTCAACTGTGGAAAAACTTCTATTTCTTAATAAAAACATGTGATATATAAATTGTTGTATTTCTTTTTTAAATGTTCAAAATAGAATATATACTATTTATGACTTCTAATAAAATAGAGTTTTGGGTTCCCAAATCATGGGTTGTGTGCTGGTTTGCAATTGTTAAATTTGTCCACTAGAGGTCAGTGTTTCTTCAAGGCCTCAGACACGTCGAACTAGTGATGGGCGAATGGAGCCTCGTGAAGCATTGGCACCTCCGTCGCAATATTGTCTCAAATGGTTCGACGTGTCTGAGGCCTTGGAGAAAGACTGACCTCTAGTGGACAAATTTAACCATTGCAAACCAGCACTCAATCCATGATTTGGGAACCCAAAACTCTATTTTATTAGAAGTCATAAATAGTATATATTCTATTTTGAACATTTAAAAAAGAAATACAACAATTTATATATCACATGTTTGTTTGTTTTTATTATTAAGAAATAGAAGTTTTTCCACAGTTGAAGGCTTTAGTCTACATCTTCTTTGGCTCACTAACTCATCAGCTTTGGAAAAAATTCTCTCACATGGAACAGAGGATGCCGGTATACAAAGATATTTTTGAGCCAGTCTCCACAGATTAGGATATTGTATTTTAAGAGGACCTCGCATCTGGGAATTTGTTGTTCCTTCAAGTATCTAGAAAGCAAGATAGAAAAGCATAAAATGTGTACACCATATATAACCTTGATGAATAGCACAAGTGTCAGCTGATACACTACCTTTGGATTTCTTCAGTGGCACTGTCAGATGCAGGGCTGGTTTGCTGAGCAACAGCATGGCTGTCCAGTAAAGCCCACAGATTGTCATCGTCACTTGGGGCTGGAGAGATCTGTGGTTGAACTTCACCCCGAGTCCTGAGTTCAATCAAGCTGGCACATTCCCGTGACAGTCTCTCAACAGCAGCCTGTGCATTGGATGGGCTGCAAAATGCAACTTCTTTGAAACGTGGATCCAGTACAGTTGCCAACGACAGGGAGGTGACTTTCTCCAAGCCGCTCATTTTCTCTTTTAGATTATTTTTTAGGTGGGTGGCTAGTGTAGCTCCAACACCATCATCCATTTGGGTACACTCAACAGTAATTACGTGAGTTAACATTTTTGTAATGGGTATGACTTTAGACCCCGATACTCTGGTCTCCCCAGACATCTCCACTGTTGTTTGGTTGAATGGCCTTAACACCTTTAAGCACTGGTTTATTGCATCATAATCCTCAGCGCTAAATGATGTCAAGTTGGACGTTGATGTCAGGGATGCAAGGGCAGCGCCTAGTAGTTCCCTCTGCTCATACATACTTTGAAACATGGCAAAGGTGCTATTCCACCTGGTTTCTATCTCCTGGACCAGCTTCAGCTGTGGCATGCCCATGTTGGATTGAGTGATAGCCAGCTTTTCCTTTGCTGTACAGTTTGATTTAAAGTGGCCAACAATTTTGCGAGCTTTGCTGCGCATTGTATCCAGCTCGGACATTTGGGAAATAGATTTTTTTACAACAAGATTCAACAAGTGAGCAAAACAATGAATATTTTGAATTGATAAACGATTAACACTTGCCACAATGTTGCGGGCCCCATCAGTAACCATGGCACACACTTGATCGGCTATTCCCCACTCAGCCAAGATTGGCGATCCTGCTTCTGCAATATGAGCTGCTGTGTGGGTCACGGGAAAGTACTGTACTCCTAAAAGTACAGTTGATAATTCAAGGTCGTCAGAAAGATAATGACAGGTCACACCCAGGTATGCATCCATATTTCTGGATGTCCACATGTCTGCTGTCAAACTGACAGCAGAAGCTTTCTTTAAATCTTCTTCGGCCTTCTTTTTGTTTTGTTGGTAGCGTTCTTCCACCATTGTTTTTACAGTTTTGCAGCATGGAACTTTGTACAAAGGATCCAATATTTTCATCAGGTTGGTGAATCCCTCTCCTTCAACCATAGAAAACGGTTGGCCATCTTTAATAATCATGTCAACAATGGCCTCATCTAACATCTTCTTTTTAGACACTGTAAAAGAAGTGTGTTCATATGAGAACTCTATACTTACTTAATATCTAGCCTTTATATTAAAAAACAGTCACATAATTTATGGGAATATAATTGAAATAAATATATAACTTACTGTCAGGATAATGGCCACTGTTGCCAGGGATTGTGGTGGACTGCTGGCTCTGGTCAGTATTGTGCCTAGCACGCAAGTGTCTCAGCATCGATGAAGTATTGTTAACGTAAGACAATACTTGTGTGCAGAGCATACACCGTATCTAACAACAACAATAATAATGATGATTTAAAATAATATGTAAAGAGCAACATAAATAGCATGCTGTAAATAAGAAAATAGGTTACCTTATTAGGTAGAATTAGATCAAAGTGATCTCAAACCATGGATCGCTTTTTCCACTTGTAGATGCCATTGAAAATGAAACAAATGCCAAAAGTCACTAAAATCACCACTAATGTCACACAATACTCCTCATTACCCAACATTTTTAAGAACTATTGATGCATTGTTTATACTGTAGCAGTTTAGCTCTTGTCAATCCATGGAAGTGCGCTGAACACTCTGAATCAATCGCAGAGCAAAACATTCGCTGAGCCAATGAAACGCTTCAATACACTGAAGCGATTGACACAGAGAGCGAAGCAGTAAGGGGAGGGACCGACACTTTGACACTTTGGTCACGTGAGTGGCTGCTGCGAGACAAATTTTGTTTCAGAAAGAACGAGACGTGCTCTGGAGCTCTGACTCATTTGCCCATCACTACGTCGAACCATTTGAGACAATATTGCGACTGAGGTGTCAGTGCTTTACGAGACTCCATTCGCCCATCACTACAATATACAATTCTGTTGTTTTTAATATTATATTTTGTGATTTTCAGGGACATTGCAAATCCAAGGGAGATGGTCACAGTTTCAGCAGAAAACAACACGTTAATGAACTTTTGTGGGCAGTTTTGTCTGTCTGTGTACAGAAGTAAAAAGAAAAAGACTGAAACAGACAAGTTTCCTGATAAGAAGCAAACCATCTTACCCGACAAACCCCTGTGCAGCGTGTGCAAACTACCTAACAAGGTAACTTAAAACTTTATTTCTTTGTTGTTTCGTTTGTGATCTTGTTTGATTGATTCTCTTTTCCAGATTGAGCATGAGGTTAATCATCAAGGCGCTCTATACAAGCTATGCAGCAATGCTTGCTTTTTGTCTTTCCGAAAGATGAAGCAGTTAGCTTTGAATTGTTGTGAAGGCTGTGGACTCTACTGCAACAGTAACTCTGGTTCCTGTCAAACACTCATGGTTGATAAGTCTGAACTAAATTTCTGTGGTCCAACATGCATCAGCACTTACAAACAAGTATGCATTTTTGCCTTTGTTGTTGGAAAAAAATTAAAAAAAATAAATAAATTGAACTGATAAATTTCTTCTTTACACAGACCTGCAGAAAAACTGCTGAATGTGCCTGCTGCCATAAGGTGGCTGTAGTATCTGCAACTGTCATGGAAATGGACCAAAAGGGAAAAGTTCAACTTTATTGTTCGACATTGTGTGTTGAAAATAGTCGACCACCAAAGCACGTACTTAGTGGTAAATTAAGCTACTAGTTACTTTTTCATTAATCTATTGTGAGAAACTTATTTTAATTGCATGTTTTATTTTTCCTTTTAGATACTGCTTTTCCTTGTGGCCAATGTAATGTATCAGCAGTTCCACAGTATCATCTTGCCATGGTGGATGGAACTATACGAAACTTTTGCTCACTTGATTGTGTTACTACATACCGGGTAAAACCAGTTTAAAGATGCTAGATTATTCGATGGTTAATTTTTATTGTTATAAATATTTTTAATTACTCTTGTATTACAGAAATCTAAACATACAAACCTTCCAAATGGAACTTCAGCCCCCAAAGAAATGCCTGTAAAAGATGGCACAAACCATACATCTACAAGAGAAAGCATTTCAAGTTCTAAAGACACGTGCTCTCTCAATATTAACCACTCCCATCAGCCGCTTATTGTACCTTCAGCTAACAAGTCAGAAATTCCAGCTGTCTCTGAACCAGAGCAAAATCTGACTAAATCTGACCTACATAAAGTCCAACTGTCTTGTGAAAACTGTAAAAATCTATTCAGATCCAAACCACAGCTATTGAGTCACCAGGTAGGTTGACCTGCAGTTTATATGCCTTGTAGGTTGACATATATTTTTTATTGTATTTTTGTGATTATTACATAAAGAACTATCCTATTTTTTCAGGGTAGTATTTCAATATTCTGCAGCAATGCATGCTGCTTTGAGTATAAAACACAGAAGAATATTGTGGCATTTTGCCAAAACTGCAAAAAGGAAAAAGTGCTTTATGAAATGATAAGCAACAACGAAGAAGATGTGTCTTTGTGCAGTGAAAGTAAGAAAACAAATCCAAGAGAACACACTTTGTTTTAACTGTGTGGTATTCAACTTTAAAAGGTTGCTTGTGCCATCTAGTGGTAGTACCATCAAATTGTGTAAAGCACGTGCTGTAAAAATATTCTTGTTCTAAGTTATGTCAGTGTTACTCATAGAAAACCTTTTGCTTTCTTGTCTTTTAGATTGTAAACAACTTTTCCAGCAATCCTTTTTGGATAATCCATGTAGCTACTGCTCCAGGTTCTCCAGCAAAAATGTACAGAGTCATTATTGTGGGCAAATGAAAGGATTTTGTAAACCCTACTGCATGTCCAAGTACACCGTGCGTTACTATGGGGTGAGGCTGGACACAGTGGAACACGGCACTTTGTTGATTATTATGACATTGAAGTTTACCTTGTCCTCTGAAAACAGATGGCCCGCTGTGACAACTGCAGGAAGCAGGGCTATATGACTGAAAACCTGCAATGTATGGGCTCAGTGAGGAACTTCTGTGACTTGCCCTGCCTTCTTCAGTATTGCCACATACATTTTGATAAAGGAACACATTCCTTAAGCAATGGGACGGGCCCAGTGCCTCCTAAACTCAATGGTAATTATGAACGCACCTTTCACGTGTACCGCTCACTCTGCATTGAGGACACAATACTTTGACTGATCCTAAGCGTAACAATAAACAATAATTAATAATTGCCCAAGTTTAACCTAAATCAGACCAAGGACCTCACATCTCCATTAAAAAAAAAAAACTTAAATTAAGATTGGACTTGTTCTTTTTTACTTATTGATTTAATATAATAGTTATTAACTTGTTAGAATTTCAGAAATTTGGGTTGTATTTTTTTTTATCATTAAAATTAATTGCAAGAATTTGCAGTAGTTACCACAATGCACACATGAGGCTTAGAAGAAGGGAATGTCCACTCTTGTATTTTGACTCATGGTTGTGTTGTGTTTCACACTGTACTTGGTCACAATCTCCCATACTTAAGAATCAGGTAGTTCAGCATCTCAGTCCTGTGCAGATCAGAAACTAGACAAACCACTTTTGGAAAGGCAAGGGAACAAATCAAGTAAGGGCTAAAATGACTACAATTTATTTCCACGCTGTATGTCTATTGGCCATAAGTTTATGTCAGTGTTTAATTTGCAAATGTTAATCACTTTTGCTTGTTTAGGAACTCCTGCTCAGTCTGATGAAATCATCAAGAACTTTGATCACGTACGTTTCTACTGTGTGTATTTGATTCAAATTGTGCAAAACCGTTAAATATTTCATTATCATTATCTATAAAGGCCAGTACCCAGACTGTTGGCCCACATGTGCCTATGCCTCGTCGACGGCCAATGAAAAATAAGACCATTCTCTGTCGCCCAATCACAATGGACCAAGAGGTTTCTTGCCAGCTACTGTGCCCTCCTGATTCTACAGGTAATTATAGTAGACAGTGTATATAGCGGTAAAAATAAAGTAAATTTATTTTTATGACACAGTGTTCTTAAATGTCAAACATATTACCCCAAGATCGTGCATGCAAAGATTGTCCATTAATTTGAAAGTAGAAATTAACACATAATTTAAATTGCACTTTTGTTATGTATTTGTTAAACCACTTTCCCCTGCACTTAAACTGCATAAAGTAATTTGTTAAATAGTAACTTGTAAGGTTTTCTTAGTTTACGTTGGTCTGCTCATCATTCATTATGACTCACAAGCAGCGTTTTACCAATTGTACCAGCTCCACTCGATACCAAGCTGCCCTTGAAGTCCATGGCAGATGTATCTACCTCTACGCCAGCGTCACCAAGTCTTCTGGAAGACGGCGAAACATGCACGGGTCTGCCTGCACGCCTTTCTGGACGCCATTTTCTAGGCACAAGAGATTCTACTACCAGCTGCAAGGTCTGCTCACCTCAACCTGTCACATGTAAGAGAAAGAGAACTGAAGAAGAGGAACCAGAGGAGCGGAAGAGACCGAAGCTTGAAGAAAATATCCTCAAGGAGAATTTAGAGAATGAAAACAAGGAGGAAGAAGACTGTGATGTAAAAGTTCTGAAGGGACAAACCACATATTATTGTAAGACATGTTCGGGAGAGCCCAGCCTCTGCCCAGTGCCATGTTTTGAACTCTACCACACAAGACTAATCTACAGAGCAGTGCAAGAACTGAAAACACATGAGGATCCTTCAGATTAACAGATGATATTATAGTTTTTGCCAAACATTTGAATGGCACTCCCAGTTTAGAGCTCAGAAACTGATTCATTGACCATGTAGGGTTTATTTTTGTTCACACACCTTTAAATTTGCCTTAATTCCGCAGTGATCACAGTTGACTGAAGTTTGCATTCAGGTGGTATACACAACTGTAAAGTACTGAAACTTTGCTCCAAGGAAAAGCCTGAGACTAACTGTACATCTGTGGGTACAAGATATTCTGTTTGTGACCTAAATCTTAAAATGAAAGAAACCGGTGGTGTTGACCCGTACTTTGTCTTTTTCTGAACAAACAAGAGCTGATCTGTGCAATTTTACCAATGTCTCATGAGCATCCACAACACTAATGGCATTCCCTCAGTCCAAATGAAAATACCTGAAATTTAAAACACAGTGCTCATTTATTGTATTGTATTGTGTTCTTTAAAATAAAGTTTAACTATTTGTACGAGATTCTTCAATCACATTTTGATTGCTGAATAAAATCTGACATTTCTGTAGTGTTTGACATTGTTCTTGCACTGAAAAATATAAGATAAAATGCACACAGTAAAATGTATGAAGCTTTTCCTTAAATTCCATTTTAATTTTGATAGCAACACTACATTTCTCCCAGTGAATGTTTGGAGTAGATTGGTGTATCACCCGAGTATAGCTGAGGCTTGTTCTTTATACTTTTTTCCATGTAGGTATTTATTTTTATGTTAGTACATTTTATGTAGTTTGAAAATGAACATGTTAGGTGAAAAGTCTATTTAAATTTTAATTGTAGAAAATAAAAATAAAAAATGTTAACATGGTCTTAGTGTTTGACCTATAATCCTATTTTATAATTTTATTATGTTTGTATATGAGAATTTATTTAAGGAAGTGTATTTTGCAACATGTTAGCATTAATTATATCTCAGTTTTTATCAGAAGTTAAATTTAATCTAATTTATGCATGATTTTGACTCCAGCAGACTAAGCTATGTTGCAATATTATGTAATGTATTCTCTTACAATACTTGACTTTATCATAATTGATCCAAAGGTTGTTATATTATTAAAGAGGATTCAACAGTTGTCACATGGAGCAAGCTTTTGTTCAAATACCTTCCTTTGAAACATTTTTATAGATTACAGCAACAAGGATGTTTCTTTGCATTTAGAATATCAGTTTCATATACCTATAAACTTGGACTATTCAGTATTTTCCAAATGGCCTCAGATGACATGAAAAGAACAGAAGGTTACTCTAAGGTTTTGAGACAAAGAGTACAAAAAAACAAATATTAAAATATGAAACATTATTTTGTAGATGTTCTGCCTCCGCCCCTGACAGAAGAGGAGAAAGTGAAGTATGTGATGGTCCCAGTCCCTGTGCCCGTTTTCATCCCTGTTCCTCTGAACATGTACTCTCAGCACACCCCTGTCCCAGTGCCAATGCCTGTACCAGTAAGTCTGCCCACCTTCAGTTAGTTAACTTGCACAGGAGCAGTAAAAAGTACAGTTAAAGGTGCACTCTATAACGTTTCAGTTGGTCACCAAGGAGATGTTATTGTTTTGTATGTTTATAGTGTTTATTTGATTACAGGTGTTTTAATTGTGTTAGTCTATAGATATGTTTAATGCAATACTGTGGAACATTCCTGGCAAAACAGTCTCTTAAAGGTGCATTGTGTAACTTTTCTTGTGAGGGTCTGCCACCTGCTTTTCTCCATGGAGATGTTATTGCTTTGTCAGTAATATTTCACAGTGGCTTTAAACCTTTTTGTCATCATGGAGACCAAACCAGACCAAATCAAATCTCTATTTTTGAGCAATAAAGCCACCTGTAATTGAATAAATGTAAGCTATTGTCATAATGTGGAACATTGAAACAAAAAGGTGACGGACTAAATGAAAAGTTACATAATGCACCTTTAAGTAAAAGGCACCTGTTCTTAATTTAATGGGTTTTATTATCTTTAGCAGGGGTGTCAAACTCAAATTCACAGAGGACCAAAATTAAAAACTGGGATTAAATCTTGGGCCAAACTAAATATTTATTGAAAAATTTCAACAACACCTGCATATTTTCTCTTCTTTTGAGATATGTAATGTTAAACCTTTACTTATTAAAATAAATGTTTAATAATTTAACATTTAATAATTTTGCTTAAACATTGAATCCAGAACAAACATAATTTTAAAATAATAACAAAATTTTAAGTAAATAATGTCTCTGTAGCCTATCTGTAGCCAGCGGGCTAGCTCTGATAAATATTTGATATGATCTTGTGGGCCAAATATAATTATATTGCGGGCCAAATTTGGCACCCGGGCCTGAGTTTGACATGTCTGATCTATAGCATATGACTGAAAAAGTGAAAGAAAGTTCTTTGATTAATTCTATATTTGTTCTTCTCAGGTTCCAGTGCCCATGGTCGTCCCTCCACAGAAAAAAGAAATGACAGATACTGCTGTCCAGTTTGAGGAGGAACCCACGAGAGAAAACACCCTCCTCTGACACAGGTAGGCAATTATTTATATGAATCTATGACTGCACTACAACATTTGAATACTGCATTTGTGTGCTTCAGATGAGAATGGAAATTGTGATAAACCAGAGCCACACTCCAGTAGCCCCATTCCTGTCACTGATAATGTCAATGAGCACGAACAAACCACCACTACAAATGACTTTGCTTTAACCAGGTTAGAATTTGAAAATCCCACATCACCTGCCATGGATTTAGAGCTGGGTGTTCCATTTGGTGAGTGCTTTGTTTAATATGCTTGTGTGCATGTTTCCAAATTTGAATGACAAAGTAGTTAAAAATTTGCTTTTCATTGTTTTAGCGTTAGATAAGAAAGGTTTTGCTCGGCGAGGAGTCAAGAGGAAAAGGGTAGGACTTATGCCATTGACCATGATCTACAGTATATTAAGAATATGATTGTTATTTTATATAATATTTGTATACTTTTTGTCTACTTTTAGTCTCAAACACAAACTGCTTCAGGGAGTGACAATGCAACTGAGTCTCCATCCATAAAGCTAAACCATGAAAATGGGATCAATGCCTGGAAAAGCTGGGTCAGGCAGTGCAACAACAATTTACCAAATGGTGACACTTACTTTTAAATATATTTTTTCCAAAGCCATCTGGCCTTAATAAATGTTGATGTTTTGGTTTGTGTTTTCTTCTTTTAGAAAGCTCTTTGGACATTAAAGAAGACATTTTTCTTTGCGATTCCAGTCACCTCAGCTTGGCTCTGTGTCGCTTCATTAGAGAAGTACGGAGGCCCAATGGGGACATGTACAGCCCAGACAGCATATTCTACCTGTGTCTGAGTATACAACAGGTGAACATCCCAAGACAATATGCAGTTCATAACAGCCATTTTTTAATCACTAATGTGTATTTGATTTGTATTTTGACAGTATTTATTTATGAAAGGCCGGACAGAAAACATCTTTAACGAAAAGCTGTATAGTCAGTTTGCCTCTGATATTACAGACATGCTCAAGCATTGGAAGCCCACCCTCTCAGACAGCGGTAAGAGGACAGACTTTTAGTTTGAGGTGGGCAATATGATGATAAAACTGAATCACCATCAGAGTTCTTTGTTTAATGCAATAGGCTCTGTGCACAGAGCCTATTGCTGTGTCACTTTTATTAAAATCATAAAACATAAAATAAACACCCTCTTAAAATTCTAAATAATTATATTAAAGTCTACCCAATATTTTTTATATGTAGAATACTTCACATTGTGGTGTTTTAATATTTATTTTTATCAAAACTCTTTGTTGATTCTACTAGTACTTAACTGACATCAATAATCAGTTGAGAAGAAAATTACTGCAAGCCTACTGCCTGGAAAAGCAATGAAATCAACAGTGAACAGTGTACAGTGAACACATTGAGATATTACATCATCCTGAGGGACTGTTTACATGAGAATGATTGTGGATACAAACAACAAAATATTTTATTGGAAGTGGCTTTCATTTAGACGGTGACAGCGTTTTTGGGGCTTAAAAAATGCAAAAATTTGAATCCAGAGTGGAAAAGTTGAATACTCTCCACCGTATTGTTTCCATCTACACTGCCCAAGACGCAAAACTCTGGTCAGATCTGGTCATGTCGCGTATGCGTTTACGTCACATACATCACCACCTAGCGTCACCACCGAGCCGTCTGCCATGCATACCCAATCCAATTCCACACACGTTTGTGTCACCGTGTCCACGCAGATTTCCTCCCAAAAACGCTTGTCTAAACGCAGAATAAAAAGTGAAAACGCGACACCACTTTTGCGTCTTCTGTCATCATATAAATGTAGCCTGAGCCCACAGTCCACAAACTATTAAAATTCTAATTAATTGTAACAAGTCTACCCAGTTATTTTTATATATAGAATACTTCAGTTTGTGATGTTGTTTCAATACATATTTTGCTCAAAATTAACATTAGCTTTAGCATTGAGCCACAAATATCTCTCTTTCTAAACTCAGAAGAGTCCACGACTGAAGTTTTTGTTTGTATAGTTTTTAACATGTTGTCAGTGAAATCCACCCACAGTTCCCTGTTCACTGTCTTGGCTTAAAATATTTATTAGCACGACTCAGCAAAAATCCCATAGAGATAAAATTGGACAGGAAGTAGTGACGCTAACAGTAAAGCTGCCGTGCACATAGCCTATTGTATAAAATCAACCATTTCCCACCCACAGCTATTCAAGGGTTTCAGCTTCCTATTATATGCAGCATTTTGAGGACTTCCCCATTCAAACAGTATAATTAATATGTTGTTTTCAGTTGTTAATCGCTATGACAATGGTCCTGATTTTTCATAATTCTGAAAGCCTTGGGTTGGTCAGCCTTGGTCATGCTTGTGAAAAGTTTGATAATTCTTTTCATGAGCATGATTGATTAAAGGTGCATTGTGTACCTTTTCTGGTGGAGGGCTCATCAAATGCTTGCCTCCATGTAGATGTTATTGCTTTGTCTGGAATGTTTCACAGTATGCTATTAAACCTTTCTTTCACCATGGAAACCAAACCAGACTAAGTTACAGGTCAGATCAGTGCAGAGGCAACCCTGCCCACAGTTAGAATCAGTCTCAGTCTGTTTTTCTAGGTATTTTTGAGTTATAAAACCACCTGGGATTAAATAAATGTAAAGTAGGCCTGTTTAATGTCATACTGTGGAACATTTGAGGCAGAGCAACGGCATATCCACAGAATCAAGCAGGTGACATACCCCCAGCCAAAAAGTTACATAGTGTACCTTTAAATGCACTGACAAAGTCCATAGGTTATGATTAAATTGAAGTTGGGATCTAGGAAAATCATGTTATATATTATTTTTTGCCATATCGCCCACTCTTTATTTTGGTAAAAAGGAAACTTGACTGTACTTTTTACAGGTGCAGTGATTCCCTCTCTTGTTGAAGAGTCTTTTCTATGGGAGTGTAAGCAACTCGGGGCTTATTCTCCATTAGTGCTGTTGAACACATTGTTGTTCTTCTTCACCAAACACTTTGGTCTCATTACCGTGGACGACCATGCAAGCCTTTCTTTCACCGATGTCAGTTTATGCTCCAAGCCCTGCAGCAGAGCGGGCAATGTCTCCTACCTCCAATTTACCAGAGGAAGAGGGTCCATCCTGAATAAAACTGGTGTGCACTATGATATTAAGATTGACAATTAGTACAGTATATTACACTTTATTAATTTATGTTTTCTATACATTTAAAGAGGAGGGAAAACCTGAGAAGGAAGACAAAACAATAGAGTTGCTTGAAAATATGGCAAATCCTCTTCATTGTCCCGTCAGACTGTACGAGTTCTACCTCTCAAGATGGTGAGTGTCATGATCACACTTAAATAAATGCTTAAACCAAAAAGTCTTTAAATGTATTATATCTCCTTCTTGGCACTGCTTAAAAAATTTAAACTGACGACATATCAGAATCAGTTGCAGAAGAAAACTGCTGGAAAACTGGCAGGCTGGAAAAGCTATGAAATCTCAACCATCTTAATTAATAAAAATTCTTTTGTTAATAACTTCCTTTCTGCTTTTGTGAAAAGTGCGGAGATGTCATATCAAAGTTGGGGTCTGTTTTACGTGCAGCCTGAGCCCACTGTCCACACAGACAGGTCAGACAATGCATTTTTACACAATATTTAACTTTTCAGTGTCTTCAGTGAGGCTAATTCTCTCTCTCTGTCTTTTTCCAGCCCTGTTTGGTACACAGGTCAACCATTAGATAGAAACATACTCCAGAGCATGCTCACACGAATACTGGCTGTCCGAGAGGTCCATCAGCAACTACATAAACAACAATAGGTAATCAAGCATTTTTTTTTTTATGTGTTTTTTTAAGGAGTGGAAATATTATTTTCTTTTTATTTGGCCTTTTTTAATTTCTACATGTGCCCATTGTATTTTGGGGCAAATTAAGTGCATCCTTGAATAGTACTACTAGAACTATCCTTTTTACTACATGCCTCTCATACCATAATTGCTGGTATAAATATTTGATTCCAATTGATTTGTGGTTTCAAGAGATATACATATATTATCCGGATATGGAACAGTATTATAAAGGAGATTTATAGATTATATATAAACTTAGCTTTAAAAAAAAATAAATAATGATTTTAGATTTATTTTGTGTAGTTAGACAGTTTAACATACGAGGTTGTATTGAGGTTTTGCCTTGTTTTATCTTTTTATTCTGAACCATATAAATGCTGTTATACGGGACATTTTATAGATTTTTCTTTTTTACAGAAAAAGTGTAATATTTCTACCATGTAACATGTTTTGCATGTGAAGAGACACAATGTTTATCATGTACAAAACCTGTATTACTTCATTATTTCAGCTCTCATCAGTCACTACTGTATTGGTTCATGTTTACATTTACAAAGGCATCTTGGCATTCTTACAGAAATACTGATACATCTACTGGTTCAAATGAAATTGTTTTGTTGTATACAGCATATGGTTAAACTTTACACAAATTACAGCAATATTGGTGAGGATAATGGCAGCATGGACTATGTAATATTCAAAGTACATTTTGTGAATTTTATATAAAGCCTTTTGTATGAATGGTCAGTTGAATTTAACTTTACATGTGACTGGGTGTTTCTTTTGTTCATTAGAGATGATGGCCCCATTTTACAAAGGAGGCTCAATAAATCCTGGGTTTAAAAGTTAACTCAGAGTTAATCTCCCCTCAGACACACAAGTCTGAGTATTCTGTTTCACTAAACAGGTTTAGAACAGAGTTTTTAAAAACTCAGAAATAGTAAACCCTGCGTTTAGCAAAGGACATAAGGCTTTATCGATGAAGCCCAAAAAAGAGGATTCACGAAAGCAATTGTTAAACCAGTGGAGTCTGTGAAACATGCTTTGATAGATCAGTCAAGTTTAATATAAAAGAAATGAGAAGCACATTTTAAACTCATTTTAAACTATTTTAGTACAAAGATTCAAATAAGATTACTCAAAAGGCCTACAAACAGGTCTCCTTACAAAAAAAAAAATATATAGAATATAATTATCCATTGTAATTTATATAATATTTGAGAAATATATTTGAGAAAATAAATTAAACATTAAATTACCATTTGACTAAGATGGTGAATGCTGTGTAGCTTATTGAGTATTTTAAAATGTTAAAAGTGTACACAAATCAAACGTATGTATGTAGTAAGTATGATCCATGAAGCTAAAGATTTGCACTTCCCTACATGCTGTAGTGTGTGAGCTGATGAAACAAGTGTTTGAGTAAAATAAGTGTCAAATATAAATTAATACAATTCACTCACGACATCTGTTCCATCTGTGACTGACCAATCAGAGGTCTCCTTCAGGAGCACTCTGGTTAAGGGGAATAAAAAAATAAATAAAACTGTGGACCTGTTCAATTCACTGTTACCATGGTGAATGACTCAGGGTTTAGGTCAACTCTGTGAAACAGAGAAAACTCTGAGATGACTTCTTTTTGGGTTAACAAAGTTTGAGTTTGGACTAAACCTGCTTTTTGAAACAGGGCTGATAACTGAATTCAAAACATAACCAAGACGCTCAGAGTCATGATAGTTTATTCAAACAAGTGAGCAGCAAGTATCCACTGTAAAAATAGTACAAAGAAATTTACCTTTGATGCATATATCATGATTGAGTTTTATAATTTAATATTTTAAGTTATATCTTTGTAAATATAAAATGCATTGTTTTGAAGTTAGACACAGGACAAGAGTTTAAATCATTTATTTGGAAAGAACAGTAAAAGAAAACATTTAAAAATACGAGTGGAAAGAACGCATACTCTCGTCAAGGCTGGGAACTTTCTTAAGCTCTCCTCGGGGTCATATTGACCCAAAGACATTTTTTTCCTTCCCGCTCTCTTGGGGCGGGTCAATCAGACCCAAAATATTATTTTCTCTTCTGGCAAGAATTTATTTGAAAATAAATTTTTGGGTCTGACTGACCCGCCCCAAGAGAGCGGGAAGGAAAAAAAAAATCTTTGGGTCAATGTGACCCCGAGGAGAGCGTGAGGGTTAAAACTAACTTCAACAGCATTAACTTTTGCATAGTTAAGAAACATTCAAACAGACATTTAGGCCATATCTTCTTCCTCCTCTTCAAACTCGCCCTCCTCCTCTGCGGTGGCGTCCTGGTACTGCTGGTACTCAGACACCAGGTCATTCATGTTGCTCTCTGCCTCGGTGAACTCCATTTCATCCATGCCTTCTCCAGTGTACCTATCATCAACCAACTTATTACTCATCCTTGATTTCACAACATGTCAGAACTGGTTTGGGATTACTACAAATGGCAGTAATAAAATCCCTTCTATTTACTCACCAGTGAAGGAAAGCTTTGCGGCGGAACATCGCGGTGAACTGCTCAGAGATACGTTTGAACAGCTCCTGGATGGCTGTGCTGTTTCCTATGAAGGTGGCAGCCATTTTGAGGCCACGAGGGGGGATGTCACACACAGCAGTTTTGACGTTGTTGGGAATCCATTCCACAAAGTAGCTGCTGTTCTTGTTCTGCACGTTTAGCATCTGCTCGTCCACCTCCTTCATGGACATGCGGCCGCGGAAAATGGCGGCTACTGTGAGGTACCGGCCATGGCGAGGATCACAGGCCGCCATCATGTTCTTGGCATCAAACATCTGCTGCGTAAGCTCAGGGACGGTCAAAGCCCTGCAAGAAAAACAACTAACTTGAATTAAACATTGAGATGCGTAAATGGAGCTGTGTTGGAATAATTTGAATGTTTGTGCAAGATTTGCAAAAACTGGAGTGTCCCCTTTTAAGCTAGGATATAACTTTTGTGGATAATTTTACAGTCCACACTTTAACCTCAATCAACCAGATAGATTACAGAAATATAAGATTATTGTTATCAAAATAAAGACTATTCTTTAGGCAAGGATAACGTTTGTCCTCCATTTAAAACATTTCACCTGTACTGCTGACTGCCTCGGCTGGTCAAGGGGGCAAAGCCTGGCATGAAAAAGTGCAATCGAGGAAATGGCACCATGTTCACAGCCAGTTTCCTCAGATCGGCATTGAGCTGACCAGGGAAACGCAGGCAGGTGGTCACGCCGCTCATAGTGGCAGAGACTAGATGATTCAGGTCTCCATATGTTGGTGTAGTGAGCTTCAGGGTGCGAAAGCAGATGTCATACAGAGCCTCATTATCAATGCAGTAGGTTTCATCTGTGTTCTCGACCAGCTGGTGGACGGAAAGTGTAGCATTGTAAGGCTCCACCACAGTGTCAGACACCTGCCGTTTGAAAAGAGAAAGAGGAGAAAGTTACACATCGAGCATAGTCTTGTTCCATTCATTTAATTAAATTGTGAGTACCTTAGGTGAGGGCACTACGCTGAAAGTGTTCATGATACGGTCTGGATACTCTTCTCGGATTTTGCTGATTAGTAGGGTACCCATGCCAGAGCCTGTGCCTCCTCCCAGAGAGTGTGTGAGCTGAAAGCCCTGTAAGCAGTCACAGCTCTCTGCCTCTTTTCTCACCACATCCAGCACAGAGTCCACCAGCTCAGCTCCTTCTGTGTAGTGGCCTTTGGCCCAGTTGTTACCTGCCCCACTCTGACCTGTAAATATGACAATGAATAAGTAAGAACCTGGACCTTTACTTCACACTGTGAATTAAATTAAAAGACATTGATAACCTTACCAAAAACAAAGTTGTCTGGTCTGAAAATCTGACCAAATGGACCAGATCTTACAGAGTCCATTGTTCCTGGCTCCAAATCAACAAGAACTGCACGGGGGACATACTTTCCACCTGGGGTAAAATAAAGTAAAATTTAAACATTTTTTTAATTGTCACAATCTCAGTTCATAGCTCATGTAACAATGTTTTTAATTCTGTTTGGTAAGTGAAAGGAGTAACATGGTGTAATTTTCCTAAATTTTAATTCATGAGGGTCACCAAAGGTTGGCTGAGGATTTGTTGATTTCTTGTATCATAGAAACAATGTTATTATATAAACATAGCAACAGTATCTAGGAAGAAACCATTGTGTAGTATCCGGAATATTTAAAATCCTCTTCAACAATCCACAAATGACTGTTAACGGTCAGTATTACGTGGGATAAAACGCTTGGACCGCACCTGTTGCTTCGTTATAGTAGACGTTGATTCGCTCCAGTTGCAGGTCGCTGTCACCGTGGTATGTCCCGGACGGGTCGATGCCATGTTCATCACTTATCACCTCCCAGAACTGTAAACCAACAAATTACCAAAAGTGTCGACTGAGAATTATTTTGGTATTGCAAACTCAGCACTTGTGTGTTAAGACCCCCAGGCTGTTCTTATCTTGGCGCTTCTGTTCGAAGCTAGTTTAGCTTAGCAGCCCGCCCAAACCAAAATAGACAGATAATATTGCACAGTTCCGCTAGGATTATAAACAAAAGTTACATTCTGACCTTGGCTCCAATCTGATTACCGCACTGGCCCGCCTGCAAATGTACAATTTCTCTCATAATGACGAGTTAGAATCTTTCCAACAGTCTAACGATGACAGTCGCACTTTGGAGATCCAGTAACGGACTAACCTGAGAAGGTGAGAGCGGTTCCAAGTGCTCACAGCGGAGGAGTCTTATTGGGGCGGAGAAACGTCACTCAAAACAGTCCTGAAATTCTATTGGTTGAAACTTTTGCCCCTCACCTGTGATTGGACAAACATGATTTGTGAATGCCTACTTGGGTTTCCTTGGTAACGCAAAACAGAAAGTTGAAAATCCGGTTCTCTGGGTAACGGCCGAACGCTATGAACACTTTGAAAACAATGAGGAACCTGACTCTACATAATATGTCTGATCCTACTGCAAGATGAACCTAATAGATCCCAAAGAAAGCGTTAACATAATTGCAATTATTATGATTTGCAGTTTAGCTGTCCAGAAAAATAATAATAATAATTTAAAAAAAAAATACAAACACGTACAGCATTTTGATCAAGTAAATGTATGAATGCATTCATATTACGGAATAAAACATATCCAGCAGAGCCACTTTCTTGCTAAACCACTGTCTTATACATCCCTGTTTGTGAGACACACGCGAGGAACTAAAAAATAAAATATAAGTAATAAACAGATATCTGCGAATGTGTCTGTGGAGCTATGGATGATTTTTTTTTTTACTTATTTTTTTCTATGGACGATTTCAGTGGAAATAGATTTGCTGACGTCACTACCCTGCGACTGTTTATATGCGACAGATCCATCATGGCGCTCTTCCCAGCTTTTGCTGAAGAAGTGTCTGTAAAAGCTGAAGATTCACCCAAAGGTAATAATATTATGCACACAGTCTTAAAACATGTGTGTGTTAATATGTGTCTTAAGTTGTGTAAGCGAACTATTCCATAAAAAGACAATATAGTTGTATATTGCTACCCGTGGTCCAGTTTGACAATGCCTGAGCATTAAAGATAATTTACGCCTAATCTTTATTTTTACAGAGTTTGATTGGTTGAAAAATGAAAGTTTTCAAACACAAGATGCAGTCTCCATTCATTGTCGTTTTTTGGAGAAGACAGTGGGGACACAAGGTGCCACGGGATCGAGGTCATCGTCTATCTTTGGATGTATACATGTTCTGTCATATATTAATTGGCATCTCAGTGAAATTTTCTTAACTGTTATTAATTTATTAGGGATGCAAGCTCTGTTGAAGAACTGGATGAGGATGAGAGCAAAGTACATCACAAAAAGAAGCGGAAGAAAAGTGAAAAGAAGAAAAAGAAAAGGAAGAAACTCAAAAAGCTGCGTGGTCATTCTGACAGCAGTGGGTCTGACTCTGAAACTATCTTCCCAAGTGACCTAAAAAAGGAGCAAGATACTGATAGGTTTGTATAGACAGGACAAAAAGTCTAACATTGTACAGAATGTGTATTGCTTATTTGTAAACACTGATTTTTACAGACCTGAAAGTGATGTATTTGCAAGTAAATTCATATGGCTTGATGACCTCACGTCTGCCCAGAAAGAGGCATTCTGTGTTGACCAGAAGCCAGACCCAGCCAACTGGACCTATAAGTCACTTTACAGAGGGGATGTTGCCAGGTAGAGAGTCCTTCAGAATGATTTAGACACTTCAATGTGAGATTATGCAAAACAATAATGTTGTGTTGGATACAGGTACAGAAGAAAAGGAGCATCCATATTGGGCATAGACCCTCACAGAGAAGGAGTTACATGGGATGACTCTGAATCAAATAAGAAACAAAAAGCCAAAGACAAAAAGAATCGCGGAGGAGGTGGATTTGGAGACGAAAGATATTATTCTACAGCAAATCAGCGATTACTTATATCGGAGTCTCCAGTCTTATTATTACCTACGGAAACGCCTGAAAACTGCATCAATAGGGGAGCACCTTTCCTTGCTTTTTGTGATAATAAAGACAACACTATACACAATCTGAGTAGTAAGTAATGTTTTATATTAAGTAATGTTTCATTGTCCATTTAATTAACAGTATGTGTTTATATCCAGTTGACGGGTCACAGAGTACATTAAATCCTCTTGGTGTGTATGACCCATCGACAGCTCTCTGGATGCAGGGCAAAGGAAAATCAGATGAAACTGACCAAAAACAAGATACACAAACAACAGAGAGTTCTTTTGTCACAAAGAAAACTGAAGACTTTAACAAACGACTTAGAGAGCAACCAGAGGATACAGAATTGTGGATACAGTTTATACATTACCAGGTAATATGGTAAAAGAAATCTATGAAGAATAACCAAATTTTACAAAAAGTACTTTATTTTTATGATGCTTTGTTTGATGTACACATTTTTTTGACCAGGATGAACTTAGCACAACAGTATTCATTGATGAACAACGCAGTGATCACACTGAGCGATCTAAATCATCCTATCGTGCGGTGCTTGAGAAAAAGCTGAGCATTGCAGACCGTGCTGTTGCCTTAAACCCCAGCTGTATTTCTTTACAACTTGAGAGGCTAAAGATCTGCCAAGAACTCTGGGAGTCCTCAGCTTTGGCTAAAGAATGGAAGAAGCTGGTGAGACAACTCATTATGTTAACTTAATAAAAGCCAGTTTAAACCAACTTATCTTTTCTCTTATCTCTTATTCAGGTGTTTCTCCACCCAAACAGTGCACCTTTGTGGAAAGAGTATTTACTGTTCATGCAAAGCTATTTTAGTAACTTTTCTGTGTCAAAAGTCAACTCTGCTTTTGGAAAATGTCTAAGCACTCTCAGTGCTGTTCGAGATGGAAGCATGGTCTCTCATCCAGCTCTGCCTGGACTGGAGGAGGATATGCTTGGTAACCTTTAATATATAATTACGCTGTGGATTTCATTTTCTTTCATTTGAAAAATATACAACTTATTCTGTTTTACTTTAAGATATCTTCATTCAGCAGTGCCATTTCCTGCGCCAGGCTGGTCACTCAGAAAAGGCAACATCTCTATTTCAGGCCATGATAGAATTTACTTTTTTGAAACCTGAGAGTCTACAAAAACTATCCACCAAACAGCAGGTGGGTGGCACTTTGTAAATTTTCTCCAGTTTCAATTGTTTATAGACGAAACATAAACATTGTTACTTTTTAGGTGGAATTTTTTGAGACCTTCTGGGACAGTGGTGAGGCGAGGGTTGGAGAGCCTGGATCAAAAGGGTGGAAAACATGGATGCTTCAACAAGAGCGAGGTGGTTGGGTACAGCCAAGTGCAGGTATAACATCACACAACATTGGCAACCTACAGAGATTTACCATTGGTCTTTAAATTGTACTTTACATTATGTGTGGTGTGTTTTATAGAAGAAGAGGAGGATGAAGACGAAGAAGAGGAGGAGGTGAAGGATCAGAACCAGCCCAGATGGAAAGTCTGGCTAGATGTGGAGTCATCTCGTGAAGCAGGGCATTGGTTACCTTGGAGACCTGACAAATCCAAGGGCCAAACAGAGGATGACTGTGAAGACCCTGACCGACAGGTACTGGCTCCTGACACAGCATTTACTTCAACTATTGCAGCATTAGATGTGTCCAATGATCCGATTTGAACTGTGTTCCCTTTTTCTTTCTTCTCAAGGTTCTGTTTGATGACATTGGTCAGTCTATGATTTGTTTATCATCGCCAGATTTACAGCTTCGTCTTCTTCTCCACTTTTTGTCATTTCTGGGATTACCAGTGAATATTACCACATCAAACCAAACTGGAATGCTGCTGGAAAATCTTTTGTTACTGACTCAAAGTAAAAAATATACTTGACTGTCAAAGTGCAAACACAAATGGAACATTACTGACAAAATGTCCTTTAATTTTCTTAGATGATAACTTTGCCCGACCTCTGACATTTCCTGAGCTTCTTCACACTGGGATGAACTCTGTTGGGCAGATGACTACTCTCCAGGGAATGCCAAAGTGCATAGGGTTGGGAAAACAGGGTGGAAAGTTTTTAAATAACATTATTGCCATGATTCAGCCTTTACTTCCTACTCACCATCGAGCCATCCTGTTTCTTAGCCAAATTCAGAATGAGAAACTGAAGGTATGACCACTTTTGTCTTTTTAGATTTTTTGTCTTAATAGTGATTTTTCTCTTCAAAGTACTAAACCTATTTTTTTAAACATTGCACAAAACAGGTTCTGCAGAGTGCATGCAGTAGCAACAAAAAACATATCCACTCACAAGGCAAGAAAAGCAAACGCATTGCAAAGCGCTTACTGAAAGAACCAGAGAACCGCTCTTCTTTAGAGATGTGGCGCGAGTATGCTCACCTGGAGTGGCTTTTAGGAAATCTTGATGAAGCTCGGAAGGTTTTTGTCACAGCAGCAGCACTCGGAGGAACCAGTGGCCTTGCGTCTCAAAGTCTGTGTAATCTGACATTATTATGGGCACAATTAGAGACTGAAAATGCATTAGATATTGGTGGAAGACAGAAAGATATAACTTCCTCTCCAGCTGTGCGTATTCTAACACGACTTGCTGAAGGAACCTCATTGTCCTCTTCCGAACAGCTCTCTCCTGTTTCCATATTAAAAGCTCGGAAATCATATGACCAAGCTCTGAACTGCACTTTATCTACATTGGATCAGGTCTCCCTTAAACAACACGACAAAGGTTAGCCTTACTGATGTCTATCACTTTTGTAAGAAAGTTCAATAGGTTGTATGGATTAATAAAACATTTATGCCTTTCTAGGTCAATCATACAGGGGCCTGGTTGGCTGCTACGCTCTCTTCCAATACCTCACAGTAGGGATCAAACCGGCCTCTGATGTGTATGCACTAGCAAGAAACCGAATGGACGAGCTGCAGCAAAGGCTAACAGGGGACCTTAAAAGTAGCGAAGCTGGTTACAAAGATTTAATTTCTAATTTATCTTCTGAGTGTGAAGCTTTAGCCATTCAGCAAGCAGCATTGCTTAGGTATCACAACAAAGTGAGTGTATTTCCTCTAGCTCAGCTACGACAGATGTTAACAGCTGCCTTGTCTACCTGGCCTTACTGTCCTGCCCTTTGGGGCATCTACATTCAGGTATTTATTTTATTTTAAGAAAAGTAAATAATTTTTGTTTTTGCTGTAAATAATTTTAGTTTTTGTGATGTCTCACCATCTTTAGGTGGAGAACCGTTATCATAGTGCTGGCCGAGCTCGTCGCTTTTTTCATTCTATAATGAGGAATGCCACTAATGTGTTGCCAGGTCTCTTTGCCATTGTCGCTGAGCAACAAAGGAAGCAGACTGTGGATGCTGCTCAGAGGTATACATAAAATGATGATTAGATATATCACTGTTACTTATAAATGTATATTTCAAATTCATCTAGATCATGTTGCCATGGAAGTGCCTTGCCTACCTTACCAGAGAACGGCCTGGGTCACAGGATCCGTGGATTATTTGAAAATGCGACTAAAACAAAGATGGGAGCTCATTGTCCTCTACTTTGGAGAATGTATATGTATTTCTTGGTGAGAAGAAAAAATACACTTTTTATGTCAATAGTATGACTTAATATCAGTTCAGTATTAACTGGTATGAGTAGTTTAGTAGATTTATTTTATTTTTTTGCTACACATTCTAATATACAACTACAGTATAAGAAGCACAGACTTTAAACAATTTATTATTATTCATTTAGGTATCAGATGGGAAGGTGGATAAAGCCAAAGAAATTTTCTATAAAGCTCTACAAAATGTTCCCTGGACAAAGGTAATATTGTGAATGTGCATTATTTTATTTATACAAACTACATGATTTATTGAAGGCATAAATGCTAACCATGTGTTGTATTGGGATCAGGGCCTTTATATGGATGCTATTCAACTATTTCCTGAGCATTTGCAAGAATTTGTGGACTTGATGACAGAAAAAGAACTTCGACTGAGACTACCACTAGAAGAGCTTGATATACTTCTCGAGGACTAAACATTACCCTTCTTTTCTAACTTTAAATGAATGTTTTGCTTAAAATGTAGGAAAAATTATTATATACATTTAAATTTTATTACGAAATAAACCATGTTATTTTGGCACTTTAATGCTCTTATTTCATAGACTGCAAAGGAAGTAAAATAGTTCAAACTTTATAAATTTTAATTCTATTAAGATTTTTTCCCATGAACATCACTGTAATAAAACGGCACAGTAAGGATTGGAAAATTATGAAAGAATTAATTAAAACACATATGATAGTGTGCTATGTAACTTTTCTCGTTGAGTGTGTACTACTTGCTCATCTCCCTGGTCACGGGATGCAACTACTTTGACTAGAATATTCCACAACATTGTATTAAATTTATATATCTCCATGGACATAAGCAGCCGTGTCACCTAGCCAAGTTATGTTCAGATATGTGGAGAGGCGAGCCGCAGGTGCAGGTAAAAACCTACATTCTTACTATTATTTTTAAGCAATAAACACTATAAGTAAATGCAAAAACATAACAGGTAAAGCAATAAAAAGCCCAAGGTGGCTAAATCATCATCAGAAAAGTTACATAGTGCAACTTCAACAACTTTGGAAAAGTTAGGAAAATGAATGGGAATTTCACTTCCGGAAAGAGCGCAAGCTTCGAAGTGGGCGGGACTGTTGCGCGAAGGGGCTGAACCTGAACCACGGCCTCTGTCATGAACTATTTCAAAAGGTAGAGTGGCATGCTTCATTTTTTTCATATTGAAACTGTGCTTTCCAGTCATTCAAAAGCTAATTTTACTCTTGGTTATTTTGCTTTTTTTTTTTTTTTTTTTTTTTTTTTTTTAATTCTTTGCGATTGTTGTAGTAAAAGTAGTTCCTTTCCCTCCTTTTTCCTCTGAGCGCCGCGCTGTGGTTTGACGCATTGCAGATCTGACCTGACCAATCAGATGGCTCAGAACAGTCTGCAGAAAAGTGCAGTTTTGCCTTAGCCAATCCATATACAGCTCACGGGCCAATCTCAGAGTGCGTTTCTAAACCAAGCCGCCGCTCCCCCAATGCTGTAAACATGTGACATGTTTGACAGTATCCATCCGCGCCTATAATAACGTGGTAACAAAAAGTAGTCCATCACTTACACACGTATCTCTAGTCTGCGGAGGTACATGTTATGTTTAAGCAAACATGATCTGTAAGGTCTACTACACGATCACATAGTGTAAAGTAACACATTTAAGTGTAGGCTGTATACATCAACTGAATGCGTGAAGACTAATTTTGAAGCCCAGCCACAAAGTTGTTTTTTGATATTTTATATTTTATATTTCAGTTAGCATTGTGTCTACTGTAATTCTGTGTGTTTTTTGCATTACTTAAAGCTCATCATAAATGTGTTTCAAAGTAAATGGTGTTAAATAAAGTCAACACTTTAGCGCACTGTCTTAATAGTGCGGAGGGATATAATGAGGCGGTGGTTCGTCCTGTTTCTTGCACGCCTCGTTCAAGCAGCAGCTCATTTCTTCTGTCTGTGTAGCTTAACACACCAACCTTCGCCTCTCAATCAGACATGGTGAGTATGCATTTAAATGCTGCTACTACGGGCCACTCATGAATGGTGTGATTTTGTTTTTTGCGTGCTGTATGGCTAAAGCTCTTGAATGAATTGACACCGACGGTGGAGTAGCGGCGCAGTGTGAGCACCATTAAACATGACCTGCGCTAAATTAACCCTGTCCACTGTGATATTTAACTGGTGGTCGGCCAGAATAGGTTAATCTCATATAAACTTCATAAACAATCCTGCATTTGCATTGGACATGATAAGCTGTGGCTGTGCAGTATTGTTTAAATAAATGTTAGTGTAGTGCTAGCTGTAATTCACATTACGCTTTGGAACCAGTCATTCTCCCTGTAAATGTGCTTTCTACATTCACTTAATAGACCGATTTCTATAAATGTATTCTACAACAGGCATCTGAGGTGATGCTGCTGTTGTCATTTCAGGTGACAGGTGCATTGACTTGGAAGTTTAAAGTTCTGGTTTGACGTAGACGGGGTCGTATGGAGTAATTTGGAGTTCTGACCGCTATATTGATTAATAATTATTAAACAAGCGAGACTTGTTGAAACACTTGTATGATCTGCTTCACATGTCTCCTTCCTTGTATCTTAAATACATGTATGTATTTGCAAGAAGGTGTGGCTAGAAGATTGAGAAGAATCCGGGGGTCTTCCAATGTGGCTTAACATGTCCAGACTCATAAAGAAATCCTGGGCTGAACCTAGCACTGTTCCCAGTACATATGTCTTCTTTATTTCATTAAATGTTACTTAGTTTTGTGCGACAATACTTACTAAATATTTAACAGGTCTTAACTATGTTTCAGTGAAATTAGTAGTTTAACCTGTCATGCACTTAAGCCCTAAAGTAAATGACCATTTGGACTAATGCGATGATAGACAAGGTAAAGTTACAACCTCAACTTGTACGAATAATAACATTCACAGCACAAATGGGGACCCATTTAATGATATTTAACCATATTTTAAGAAAAATCAAAAGAGCTATTGAACTTCAAAATCTCATTTAAATTGTCTAATAATAATAATAATAATATTATTATTATTATTATTAATAATAATAATAATAATAATAATGATATTACTAAAAAGAATTCTGGGCAAGATGTAAGCTTTCTAATGTGGCCATTACATTTGACTGGTTTAATTTGTTAAGTGTTGTACATGAATTGTTCCTATGTTGCCATGTTGAGGAAACGATTGTTGGACTAAGTTAAATTGTTGCTTAATCTTGCCCCTTCCCCTCTCTAATTATGGGATGACTTTAATAGTGCCCATGGTCAGGGGGATATGCATTTTCTGAAGAGTTTGTGCTACAGCAATATTAGAGGTTCATTTGCAACTGTATCCACTCTTCAATTACCCTTTGTTTTGATAAGCCATTTCACAAGTCAGTTGGTTCTGCTTTACAACATAACTTTTACTATATGATAAGGAAGGATAGAATTGCAGGCTACAGTGTCATGTGGAAGGTGGAAGGCTACGGGTAAATGTGTGTTTTTAGCGCCTCACTCTTGATTTCATCAGCTGTGAAACCTGCTGATGGCTCTGTGACCTGGATGTTGGAGGGTTAGCAGGTTGTTAACCAAGGCTTGAGCCTGCAGACACATGCCTGTAATGCCTGTTGTAACTCACCTGGCTAGATGTGGAGTCATCTCGTGAAGCAGGGCATTGGTTACCTTGGAGACCTGACAAATCCAAGGGCCAAACAGAGGATGACTGTGAAGACCCTGACCGACAGGTTTTTGAAGCTTTGGGATACCAATACTTTAATATAGCTTTTAATTAATGCAAAGTCCTCAACCACAAGATTTTAACACAACAGTTAAAAGCCATGAATTGTCTTTTTTTTTTTTCTTTTTTTTTTTTTTGAGTTTGTTGAGCACATGACCTTGTATAGTACAGACAATAATGTAATTTATAGGGAGTCCTGATCACATTTTTTAAAAAAGTTAAAATCTGATCCTGGGTTGGTCCTGGTGGAGTCTCAAAGGCCCAGCCATGTGATCCTCTCCAGGAGCAGCAATAGGAGCTGCTCTGAAGCCACCCCACAGAGACGATGCTTTGTCATGGCCACCGCTGGACTGACCTCTTCACCGTTTCTCACTGTGTCTGCTGGAGGCCCATAGACTACAGAGGTGTACTCTTTTCTGTCCTGCTCCAGTGTGGGAATGGATCCAAAGCTCCGTTGCCACAGTCATACCTTGGTTACACATGGATAACGGTCACTGGTTTCCTGCTCGAGGACGTGGCTGATGGTGGAGGTTTGGGCTGATCTGCAGTATCTGGAGAAGTGCTTTTTCAGGGAGAGTCTGCCTTTTGTCTATGCTGCTAATAAAAGGACAAACTCCACAAACTGAAGCTGGAAATTGACAAGGGGACCTGCAATTGATGCTAATACAATTTCCGGACCATTTTATTTGATCTAATATGTAACCGTATTAAAAGGTTGAAAGTGCTCCAGCTCTGTTTAGACTGGGTCCACTGATCAATGTCTGGACATTATTTCTATCCTCCTTCAAATCCTGTTCCAAAATCTTGTCACTGTCCTCGTTGCTACTTCCCCCTGGACATGCTACCCAAGAAGGTGGCCATGTACCCTGTGGAGGACGATCTGGTGAGTCTGTCCACGGTGTATGACCTTCTGGATGATCAGCAACACTTCTACAAGGAGCTGATCCAGCAGCAAGAAAGGAACTACAGAGCTTTTCTTCAGATGGTCATGGACTCCACCTCCAGCCGCATGGACAGCCTAGTCCGAGAGATGCAGGACCTGAGGAACTGTCTGCAAAGGACCAAGTCTGACCTGGCCGAAGTGAAGAGGAGTGGTGTGCAGAACAATAAGCGCACAGAGTGTTTGGCCGAGGGCCTTGTAATGGTCAGAGGAGCACTAGATGGACTCACAATGAAAGGGGGCGGGGCAGGGATGAGGGCAGTAGACCCAAAGCGCCCCGGCTTAAGACTGGACACAAGAGGTCGCACAGAACTGAAGAGCGAGCCTAAAGCTGCGAAGCTCGTAGCAGATCTCACTGATATCCACTTTGAAAACTTTAAGGTTGTGTGTCAAGAACTCAAGTAAAATTGTTTTATTTAAAAAAAAAACTCTGAACTGTTGTATAACACATCCTGTCTTCCTTTTTATGTCTAACTGTGTAGGTTTTAGACCTAAAAAAACATGTTTTGAAATGCATGTGATTCAATCTCCTGAAATGTTAATGCACCTTTTAAAACTGAGTATTTTGAACTGAATTCTGACTTGAAATTAAAAATCAAAATTGCAGTACTTATTTGTTTCCAAAATTGGACAGCCCTTGTATGAATGTTTGCTCAGCATTGCTTCAAAATATGTAACTTAGAATATTTCTGTGCTTTTTTAGGCTGATCAACTAACAGAAGAACAGATTGCTGGTAAGACAAACCACTCTTGGAGGGGAAAAAAATACAGCATTTTAGGCAAGACCATTTAAATGTTCCCTCTTCTCCTGGGTTCAGAGTTCAAGGAGGCGTTCTCCTTGTTTGACAAAGATGGAGATGGAACCATCACCACTAAAGAGCTGGGGACTGTCATGAGGTCGTTGGGTCAAAATCCAACTGAAGCTGATCTTCAAGACATGATCAACGAGGTCGATGCTGATGGTAGGTTATGTCACAAGTTTAGTGATGTGTATTTTCTTTTTCTTTTCTTTTAATACAGAGAAAACCACTAACTACAATTACTCTGTCCAGGTAACGGGACCATTGACTTTCCTGAATTTCTGACGATGATGGCGAGAAAAATGAAGGATACAGACAGTGAGGAAGAGATCAGAGAGGCATTCAGAGTTTTTGATAAGGTACAAGCCGTCATTAGTTTTGTCCAGATTTGAGATGTACACCTTAAGTAACTCTTTGAACTCTTGGCTGTTCAGGATGGCAATGGCTATATCAGTGCAGCAGAACTGCGTCACGTAATGACAAATCTGGGAGAGAAGCTAACAGATGAAGAAGTGGATGAAATGATCAGAGAAGCAGACATCGATGGAGACGGCCAGGTCAACTATGAAGGTAAGATCCACTGCACACTGTGGTCGTTTAATCTTTTACACCATGGGTATACTAACAGGCTTTTCTATTTGTCTCCACAGAGTTTGTTCAAATGATGACCAACAAATAAACGGACTATCATAGACGATCAGTTAAAACAATTCATACCTCTTATTGCAAAATGTCCATTTATTCATACTTTATAGACAACTTAAACTGAAGTCACAATTTACATACCTCATGTTGCTAAAGGCCCATATTTATTCATACTTTATAGACAACTTAAACTGAAGTCACAATTTACATACCTCATGTTGCTAAAGGCCCATATTTATTCATATTTTATAGACAACTTAAATTGAATGTGAAATCTGTTCATTTACAACAAGCTCAAATATGGACAAAACCAAAATGAATCTGCATGTACTGACTTGTGTTTTGCTCTGCCTCAGTGCTGAGCTGACCAATCAGATCCAACCCTTTAGCAGCCTCTGCAGCTGGCCTGTTCAGCCTCTGCTTTTCTGCTTCTGGTTCCATCTGCCTGATCACTATTTGTTTCTATTCTTTTCTATAACTTACTGTATTATTTATGTTTCCATGCATGCAGCTTTAGTTGGGTTACTGTTGAGCCTAGTGGCAAAAGGCTGTAAAGGCTGTGAGAGTCAGGTTAGTTTGGGGCCTTTATGGGAGGGTGAAAGCCAGTTGGTGATGGCAGGTATTTATAAGAAAATATTAAAATGGAATAAAATCATTTTAGATTCTGTGCTTCTAGCATGCCCAGATAAATGCTTTATCTTTCGTGTTTACCTTTTTGGAGGATGATGCCCCAACGGGGCATTGATTATGACCCTATGGACAGTGGTGTATTCTGTCTGAGGGGTGGGAGGGATTTAAGGTGATGAGGTACAACAGCAATCTTCAGGGCAGTACCAGTCTCTTACAGTATAATTATGAATGAATGGCCTCTGTTTACATGTAATCATAGTGTTGTGCATGCACAGAAACGGTGTACTGCCCCAAACATTGCATTTGTCTCATTGTCTTTAGGGGATGTTTCACGGGGACTGTGCTTTGCAGCATTTATATCTTGTGTGCAGGTGAATGTATGTGTGTATGTGTGTGCGGAGAGAATTGTCTCAGTCCAACTGGTCTGCTCTGTTCAGTTCAGTTGATCTGCATTCCAAGTGTACATGCTAGTCTTAACATTTTGTTTTTCCAATAAAATACCATGAACTCAAAGCTGGTGCAGTGTTAATTTGTTCCAAGCAAACAAGCTGTACAGAACTGCAATACAAATGTGTGAAATAATAATGTACAGGCCACCGTGTAGGGAAGACTTGCTTTGCATCTGCTATCAGGGAAGTTTTGACACTTGATTTTGTGTGATTGTGTCTGTGGAGTGGTGTCACAGGGAGACCAGTCTGTGGATGTGCTGTTGCCAGGCAACATGTCTGGCCTAGGCTGGGGGAGGGGAGCAGACTTTCAGTGGAAAGGGCATCAAATAGCTCAAGTCTAAGTTAATGTAGCCTACTGTATTAATCAACTTAATCATATACAGTTCGTTTGGACTTTGGTCAGCCGATTCAAAGTAATTTACACTTTAACTACAGTGTTAGAGAAAGTGAGCATGTGGCTACTTTAGTGTGAATATTATGTTCAAAACTTTATTTAAAAAAAGTCTCTTGTAGATGAGGATTATACATCTCACATACACATTTAGTGGCTTTGGTTATGTAACTTATGGAAGTATATTAATATACTGCTGCTACTCAGACACCGCTCCAGTTCATTTTGAACAGCTCCACCATATTCCCACATTTTGTTATCTGCATTCTGCAAAACAATATTTATGAAGAATCAAAGCAACTGAGAATCCATGAAAAAAAATTGTCTTGCTGCTCAGCTTTCACCTGCTTAAATATTTTAGTTCATCACAGTACAACCAGTGGTAAACAGATTTGATAGCATTAATCCCTTGTTTTTTATGGACCATCAAGTGATGCTACAAAATGCTGACATTTAAGAGCTGATATTTTAGTATAAAATGTAATTAAGACTAAGATTGAAATTGTTTTTTAAATTATGTCTGTACATTCTTTTACTTGACATGGAGCATTTCTTGCATTATTTAACACCACAATATCCTAAAGGGTTTGAAGTATGGTTACTCAGTTTGCCAAACAAGTATACTTATTTGTGGACACCTTTCTGCTTCAGTAATAAAACAATTTGTCTTAGCTTTTCATTACTTCTGAAGTATATATTTTGTAAGTATTAATAAACATATTAACTGCTATTATTGAAATTTATTGATACCAAGCAGTAAGTCCAATGAACATTTAAGAACACACATTGCACATCCTGGTCTGTGGTGTGGCAGAGGTCCTGACCATCGGGGAGACTGTTATGTGAGCTGCGGCTGTGGGGGGCTCAGTACTGTCACTTCCTGCCCTTCCTGGACAAAACCTGTCGGCGCATTAATCCACTCATAAAAGGACGTCACCCAGATCCACCTGTGCACATCGGACACTGTAAAGCACACCCATGGCCCAGGTCACCACTCGCCCGGGGAAATACCACACACAAACTGCACACTCCACAAAATCAGTTTAAATCTTTTATTCACATTTCAGTCACTCCTGTACAGCTCAAATCAAAACGAATCAGGTCCCATTTACAGCAAAAATATGTATAATTTACTAAAATAACACAATTTTATGTACATCAATATATTTTGGTATTTCATAAAATTCAAGGAAAAACTATATTCACGTATTTAGTTATTGCGATTCTCTTCAATATTTACTTTTGTTAATGTCTCTACACCATTTGGAAGTAATAGAGTGCCATTTCGTGAGAATTTATTTGATAATAAAACGCATTTAAGCAATTTCAACAAATTCAACTCATCCAATTTCCATTGCTTACTTGAAAGCATCTGATCAGGAGGACAGATTCATTATAAATTATAGTAATGTGCTGTAGTTTCTATTTACAAACATTGCAACAGCCTATGCTTTAACAGTCCACTTTACAGTAACATTGATTTCCTTTGTTTGAACAGCAAAAAACAACAGGTCAGAGATGAGATCCGGTGTAAAGTAAACACATCATTTTGAAATATTTGGCATGGCAAAAGGAAAACTTCCACATTTGAAAAAACTGTGGAGCGCATGTAAACGTAACTAAAATAATGTAATAAAGGCAGAGATGTAACTCAAACTTAGTCATATTTACATCTGAGAGCAAGAACGCACACAGCAAATTACAGTAACGCTTATCTGTAGAGGCAACAAGTTGGCACATAAACACATACGTACGCACACGTGGACATATCGATAACACAGACACTGATAGCACTCGCTCGTAGGCAAAATACAGTGGCAACAGACATGCTGAAAGTGCAACTATGGCAACATGTCAACAGGCCGTCAGCTGTTGTGATGCTAAGGAGGCTCAGCAAAGAAAGGCATTGTGGGAAAGCGAAGAAGCATTGTAGTACAGCTCAATAGCCTACCGAATAGTGTTTTCAGTTACAGCTTGGAAAAGTGTGCATTCCTGTAAACAACAGTATAATCTTTGTGTAAGCCCAATATTAATATTTAGTACAATTAGTATACAATTCTAACCAGGCAGAGACGACAGTAACCACAAGAGGAAAAAGAATAGCTGCCTTAACAGAAATATGGAGGTTATAGCATATTGACCAGTAACTGCTTCTCTGTTTCAACAATTTTGTGAAGCCCTGTGAGGCCACTGATGTTTTGATTCTGGGCTACAAAAATGCACTGATTAGAAACTGAATAAAGCTGCTTGTTATGGAAATTTTCCAATTTTGTATACAGCATCACAGATCAGTAATGTAAATGGGTATAAGTGGTTTTGACAATTCTTTGATTTGGGCTGATACAGTATTACTGGGTTTCCAATTACAATATTCCATAGGCCAGAACTATTTAATACAGATGGGGGCTGCAAACATTGATATTGTTAAAATGCAGATTTTTGTTGCAATATAATAAATTCTGGGATTTAGACACTAATAAAAATAATCAGAGAGTTTTTTTTGGCAAAGAACAATGTAGTCAATGGTTGTTTTCAGATTCTAGTGTGTGATGAGAGATAAGAATCAGATTTTACTATTTATTACATCTTATTTTACCATGAAATATCTAAAAAGTAAATTTACAAATGTTAAACCTGATTTCTATTAGTGACTACACATAAGAACCTGCTATATCACAACAAAACTCTACATTTAAATATTAATTTTAGCTGCCCTGCAGCTGTATTAAATAGTACTGATCTATAGAATGTTGTAATGTCATTTGAAACTTAACAATAGTCAAATCTGGATCTGATGGGGGGGCATCTGGAAGTAAGTTCACATTTTAGAATCTGAAAACCACCAACTGACACTCTAGAAGTATGTACTGTGTTGTGTGTTTCATTATAGAGCTCTGGGTATGATAGTGAATGGCAGAATGGGGCTACTGGCTTCTAGCTCCAATGCTGTGAGGAAGCACTCAGTGGCAGCAGCAGAGTTACCCTGGGCCTGCAGCACCTCGCCCAGACTGTTCCACACATCGTGAGCCGTGCTACAACACAAGGGTATATCAGACAACAGAAGATCCACCAGAAAACGTTTAAATTTATAATAGCCACCACATACCTGTTTACCTGCACAGCATCTCTCAAAACCTTCTCAGACAGACTGTAGCGCTGGAGCTGGTGGAGGATCAGACCCTGTGAAGAAAGAGATTCTTGTTTTACAGAAAATTTAAAAGCACAATTTTCTCAGTGGGTTTATCCATTTTTACAATTATTTGTATTTCCAGATCTACAGCTATAATAGTTATATATTTGATGTCTGAAACGCATCTCTAACTAAAACCTGCAAATCTGTATTAATTTAGCAGTGGTATGTTAATAGCAGTGTTCAAAACCTTGGGGCAGGCTAAAATCTGTTAAAGTGCTATTATTGTAAAGGGACTGGAATTCCTTTGCAGCTGGAAGTCAGGTTTATGACACCACAGCTTTACTGTCCCATATGTCAAATTCCAGGAGCAACAGTAGCAATTAACTCGAAGACCAAACAACACAACAGACCATTTTTCTTTATACTGTTAGCCACTCTGTTTAGAGCCTCTTTTTGTTAATCCTTGTAAAAAATCATTGTTGTTAGTTTTACCTTACAGTTCTGTTAAATAAATCACAACTTTAGTTTACCATTTTTTTACAACATTTTTACATTGTTACTTCCCCCTGTCCCTAGCAGAGCTGGGTCGTAACAAATTGGGGGCTCGTCCGAGATTGTAATACCCATTCCCACCTTAAATAAATTGGTAATGGTTAATAATATGGTTGTATGAGGTAAGTTTTTTCAATTGGCTTGTTTTTTGAAATTTTCAGTTATGTGTCTGAGTGTGCTCCAGGTGTGGTTTGTGTCCGGCCTGATCACCCGTTCACACACCACCTCCTGAGCTTCTCTCATTTTCCAGATTCCTTAGGATGGGGCTTGATTCCGAGTGCTCCTGGCCCATCTCGGAGTAGTGGAACAGCTAGCACTGCTGCTTGAGCTGTACTCCTGGTAACCTATAGCCCTGGCTCATGCTCTGACTTACCTTCCACCTTTCAGTCACCTGCTACCTCTGCAAGTACAACATCAACTTTTTTTTAATTACAAACCTAGTGTGTAACTTAAGGGAGAGGGTGTTACGGCCCCAGGCCTTAGTTCCAATTTGTTTGTGTGACTTTTTTTTTGCCAAGTTCTCCTGATTCCTGCTGTAGGAGCCCTGGTCCGTGATTGGTGGGGCAGGTCGACGCCCACCTCACCTGCAGCCACCTCCCCCTATTAGTTTAGTGTGTGACACTAAGTTTTACCACTCGTTTTTTGTAAGCCTGCGTGACCCCTTTTATGCCACAAAACTCTGTTTATTCTGTTGTTCTGTTTCTTAGTTTAGGTTATTTTCTGTATATTTTTAGTGTTTTGTTAATTTACCTTTACATTCCTGTTAATTAAACATTATTTAATTTATTCCATTTTACATCTTGGTTTTATTTTTGTTACTTCCCTTACCCCAAACGAGCTGGGTCGTAACATTGACCAATACAGGTTTTTTCATGGCTGATGCTAATACCAGTTTAGAATATTTTGAAATTCTGTCATTTAAATGTAACACAAACTCATGCACAGCCCTTTCAAACAAGAACTTTTACACCTTCTGTGCTTTTCTCTTCACTTTTAAGGGTTCAAATTAGTGCTGTCATGCGATTAAAAAAATTGAGAGATTAATTAATTATGATCTGTAATTAATTAATCTAATTAATCTAATTTTAATCTCACCTAAAAAATGCTGAGAAAAGCCTTCAGTTTAAGGTATTTTCATTTAAATTCATTATTACATTATTGTGGCAGATAAAAAAAGTGACTTTATAAAGTCATTTATTGTTTAACAAATCTCTCCAAATTGGCTGTTGAGCCCAAGTCTCCATGAATAAGAAACATAATAACTTTTGTCTACTTAAAGACAATAAAACGTCCAGTCTTTCCTTAACCATATAAAAAATATTATTGATAGAGAAATGCTTTATATATGAGATCACTGGTTTTAGTCCTTGTTTTAGTCCTGGTTTAGACCTGCTTTAGTCCTACTTTAGTCCTAGTTTAGTCCTGGAATGGATTAATCCTTTTTTTAATCCTGGTGTTAGTTCTGGTTTAGTCCTGGTTTAGTCCTGGTTTTAGTTCTGGTTTTAGTCCTGGTTTAGACCTGGTTTAGTCCTGGTTTAGTCCTGGACTGAATTAGTCCTGGTTTTAGTCTTGGTGTTAGTTCTGGTTTAGAGGCGCACAGGAGGAAGCGCGGTTTACGCAGCGTAGCGAGAAAACACGATCCACACGCGGCTCACGGGAGCACGTCGGTGTCCGCGCAGTGTCTACGAAAGGAAACGTGGTTCGCGCGTTCTCAGGTTAATGACGATGATGAAGGTGTGTGTTTGTGTTTGTGTGTGTTTGTGTGCGTGTCCCCTCATGTGGCAGGTCACTATAGGACAGTAGTGCAGACATCATGAGTCTATGCAGGTTGTTTTCACCAGTGACATTTAAGTTGTAGGCGATATTATATTTGTTATTTTCTTTTATATTTCACGTCGGGAGAAGAATTTCCAAGACACGAATTCGTTTTTACCTGTGCACTGCTGACTCTGTTCTACTGGCTCTTCGACCTCGTCCATTGTGCGACTGACGCCGTAAACGTCGCTCTTACTGCGCGTGTTTTGTGTGGGTTTCCGACAATGAGTGGAATTGCCGAAATAAAAAAATGTATAAATGTGTTTTTTGTTTGTGTGTGTGTGTGTGTTGTTGTCCCAACAACACATAAAAACAGGTTTTACAATAAAGCAACTCACATACAGAAACACTAAAGTTAGAGATTAAAAATGAGATTAACACGATTAAAAATATGACTGTAATTAATTAATCGCAATTAACGCGATAATTTGACACCCCTAGTTCAAATAAAGCTTTAAGTGTATTCTCAGGGACAAGGTCGGCGAAAACTAAATATCGGCCTCTGCTAGAGATTTAATATTGGCGAACCGATATCTTTACTACCTCTAATATCTCATATCTTCACTCCCTTTGCACATACATTCAAATAAGGCTGTGCTATGGACGGTGAGGAAGCTTTTGACTGGTCCTCTAGTGGCTTACTGTCAAATGCTGTCTAAGTGCTTTGGGAGAGAATTTAATAAGGTCAGACCTCCATAAACATAACAGAGAGCTGGGATTGTATGGGTGAGTGAATGAGATTAAACCACTTGGGCACAAAGACAAAAAGGCAAACAAGGAGAGATATACCACTCCCTCTCTAATGGGGCTGTCCCGAACAATTCTGAACAATTGTGCAGAAGTGACTACAGCCAGGGTTACTGTAGATAGAAAAGATGGTTATAAACTTAACAGTGTATTCTGTGCATTACCAGTCTGCATGGTCTTCACATGTGTGGGGTTGATGGACAGCGCCTCCTCGTACCACCGCTTGGCCTCTTCACTGTTGCCCCTCAGCTCTGCGATCTGTCCCCTCATGTACAGCACATTATGGGACGTGGGGAACAGGTTGGCGGCTTCCTGCGTGCACGCTGTGGCTTCAGCTGGCTTAGACATCCCAATGTAAACTTCGGCTGTCGAAAACAAACAGGCAAGACAAATATGAGGTAGACGCACACAAATGCATTTACCAAACCTTTAAATGTCACGGCATCATGGTTAATTGAAGACGCATTAAACATGACATTTTGAGACAGAATAATGCAAACAGAAACAGGAAATGAGTCAGCCTGTCTGAATTATGATTGGTTGATTATATTAGCTCTGTTGGCAAGATGAAAACGACCACCACTGCAGAAGTGTAAACCTGAGAGAAAACAGACAATGAGTATTGTATACAAGGATTGAATGCTACCTGCATGTAGCCATATCTGAGCCAAGGTCATCCAGGGATGCAGGGGTCCATGTTTGGGGGCACTGCTCTGGAGAGAGGAGGCTACCTCAGACAGAGCCTGCTCCACTCGGCTGGCTGCGATGGACGTGGCATGGACTGAGCCTAGAGAAATAGACAGAGTTAAACAGAGTCTAATTAGCCGATTTACTAAGACTGTGGTGCTACAGTCCCATGTGCCAGAATCCAGGCTTCAGTCGCTGCTTTAATCGTTTTTGCAACATGCGGTCAAAATATGAGCACGCAAAGAAATGACCAGGCCCAAACTGGCACATGGAAAAGCCTGGATTAACCAGGACAGCACCGTGCATAAATGCTGCTCATTAGTACATTAGGAGAGTGGGCTTGGCTTTGGCTCCACACACAATAACATCCAATAACATTAGATGATTACAGGGATGCAAAATGGCTGCACAGCGCAGCAAACGCACACAGCAAATCTGTGAAAGCAAAGCAACAAAGGCTTTGTGCCCTATAAACACCACGTGCTATCATTTATTAATTTAACCTTGAAATCTATTAACCTAAAATCTACAGTTTTTAAGACTTGCATTAGTCATTGGTTACTATTTTTTGTGAAACCACAACAGTTCTTTCCTTTGACTTGATTGAGAATAAAGTGTATAAGAAGGACATTTTTTTTTAGTACTATAGCTAGGTGAATGGGATAGATAAATGAACTGATGATTTTGATGAAAACAGGCCATCTTTAGGACAATCTTCTACTGCTATAGCATCTTTCTTTAAATAAAAACTGCAATAAATTGCTTAACAGTTGACATTACACATTTGTGATCAGCCAGGGACAAATAGGTAGGTGTGGTAGGCACAAAAGCTGTGAATGTGACACAGCAATGCATGCAGTAAAGCTGATAATTGAATTAAAGGAATACACCTCAGATATATTTGCCTATGGTTACTACTGTTCAATACCACATAGCTGCTGTATTCCTTTAACTCTTAATATTCTACAGCTACTAAACTGAGGACCCAATATTAAAGCAGTGGATATGTATGTCTGAGTGTATGTACTGTGGTATAGATTTCATACACATAGCTTATCTGGGAGTGGAAAGGGACCAAGGTTGAGACAGAACAATGGATGGAAAAAGAAGGTCAGATGGACGTTACGTTACTACTTACAAACAGAAAACATGGAGGAAAAACCAAGAGTATTAGCCTCCTGAGGGCCGCCTTGAAAGAAAATGGTGGGGTGGGGAAACAGAAAAGATGAGTGTTAATGATTCAAAGGAGAGAGAAAAAAGACAAATTATGCTGAGGAAATGGGCTCCCAAAAACAGATTTCTTTGGTCAAATTCTTTCCTTCTGTCTAAAATTCATTAAAGCATGGATCCATGGTATATATTTATCTGTATCAATACAAATCCATGTGTTTAATCTTATAATGGAAGATATACATATAACGCAACACTAAAAACATGGATGTGAAAAAAAAAAAATCACCCAAAAATGTAAAAAAATATGAAAATTGTACAGTGATGTTCAGGGCTGTGAGAGCATGCTCATCTTAATTCAACCAGAAGCATGCTTTTTGCCCACACATTTGCATTGCTGTTTTAGTACGAGTAAAAATATACACATCTGCAGTTGGCTGTCAAAGGTCTGCAACATTTTTAGGACAGAACCTTCCAGGTCATGTTCCTGTGGAAGTAATGAGGAACTTCAACAAATCATTATGTCACTATATAGTGCGGTGCATTGTAGACAGACAATTATGGGTGACAGGGCGCTATTGCTGTCACTGGGAGAGGCAATGAGAAGTGGCAGCTCTTTATAATGACATAGACTCTGCAGCAGCACAGAAAACGCACAGGTACACGCTCATCCTCCCAAAACCTGGTGTTGTTCAGGGTTACTCTCCTTACTAAGCTTATCACCACAGCGATCAATATATCAGTCAATAAATTAGAAATAGGAGTGGGCAGTATTGACAAAAAGTATTAACTGTATCCATGCATTATTTTTTTATAAATCACATAAAAAATGGAAACAAATCTGATAAACCTCACCCGTAAATGTCATCGGTGCGGTTAAAATATTGTACAAAATATTGATCGACTGTAAAATCGAACCCAAAACTACAGCAATATCACTTCAGATTATTTATTATAATTTTTTTTTTTTTTTTCTCCCTTGGTTAAACATATTAACTAATGGTACTTTGTTGTGTTGTTTGCTTATTTCATCTCATGATAGATTTACAATATGTAATATAATGTAAATTTCATGCAAGGTTAATGAGTCAGTGGCATAAAGTGCTCTTCAGTTTATTTCTGTAATACTACATCTCACACTTTTAGTTATCAAAACAAGCCTACTCCACACCATGCTCAGAGTAACTGCACAAGCAGGTGGATTACAGCTGGAGGAGAGCTGGCGCAGTGCACTGTGGTTACAAAACGAATGCGTCCTGGTCTTGGTGGGCACTGGAGCACCGGGCGGTGAGATAGATGGAGGAAAGGTGGTGGGCATGAGGGGCTGGGGTCTGAGCGGAGAGAGAGGAGGGGGCTGCAGGATAAAGACAGGAGAACAAGGAGAGGGCAGCGGAGAGGACATAGTGGACACAGTGGGGGAGGTGGGAGAGATCTGATCTGAACCAGAGTGAGACGAGGAAGAACCAGAAACTAAAACAGAAAATTGTGAAATAAAGAAAAAACAATGAATATGGCATGTATAAGTAACACCGGAAAAGACCACATTTGTTAATTCATGGGTTTCAGAGCAATTAACCATTCAAAATGAATATTATATAATTGCCCGTAAGTCTAATGTATTCTGATAGAGACACAGCAACTGATATTGCACTACTGTAACAAAACACATCCAGCTAGGTGCTTGCTAACATTTCAGATATCTCTTTCTCACCTTTTCCATCAGAGGTTTAAATAATGATGAATGGCCAGACTTGAATGGACAATAATAAAACATGTGAGTCTTGTACTGACCATGGTGAATAAACTTCATTAGACATCCAGTCTCCAGTCGCTCTTTGCAATGCTTGGACTGCTTTAATATTTTTTTTGGTACAACAGAGTTTATTGGGATGTTCTGTGGCTATATTGTTTTAGCTAATGCATCTCTCTATGGATGTTTTGTACATGTTAGCGATTTCACTGGTTTTTACATTCAATTCCAAGCTATAAACAGCGAGGTGAAACCCATGAATGTTTGTACAACATTACTTTTAAATAATAGTTTGTTAATAATGCTTGTAAAATGAGAAGGCAAAAATAAAAGAACATTAAATACAGATCACTTTGTGTGAAAGAGTAAAAAGTTTTACCAGTCTCAGGGTCACTGAAGTCAGGTAGAGTCATGGCATTAAGCTGGCGTCTGTCAGCGATGGCTCTGTCCAATAAGCTGCTTCCACGACCAGAATCACTGCAGGTTCACAAGACTCATCAGGACATGGTCGCTAAGCAGATACCATATGTAACAACACCTTTCCCTAACTACCTACTCTTCTAACATCAGAGGGGTCACAACTAATTTGAATTTGACTATTCTTCTTATTTATTCTCATAATGAGAGTAATCACTTTGTACAGATCACACATCAACAAATACAAATATGACTTGTACCTGGGATTGGTAAGGTTATAAAAACTCTTCCAAATTTGCAACATGTGTTTACAGGTAAGTAGAGCTTCTTCTGGTCCTCTGCACATCGACTCCAACTTTACTTTAGTGTACAATAAGCTAAAGACAATGATGAGAAATGTTACACTCATTAAAATACACCTTTAAAGAAGAGGGTTAAGTCCATTCTTACTTAAAATTCTCAGGGTATTCTGACAGAGCCATTTCTATAATATTTAATGCGTCGTGATAGTGTTTCTGTGCAGACAGCAGTAGAGCCAGAAGGTGGAGGGAATGGACATCATCACCTTGTAGTTGTAATGCTTGTCGCACATATCCCAGAGCCTCAGGAATCTATGGATAGATATAAAAACAGTTTTAATACAGTTGAATTGAACAATAATTGGTACGAGATTTATTTAAGTTTTTTTTATTATTTTTTTACCTGGCGTGACACAGCCAGCTGAAGTGCCAGGTAGAAAGCTGCTAAATGGTCAGTTGGTGATAGACTCTGGGCTCTACACATGGTCAAAAAGAGAAAGAACATAACATAAACATAAAAAATATAATAAAATAGTTTGACATAAAGGGGGCCTCACCTCTGGAATGCACCCAAGGCCTTTCTCTGGTATTCCTCTTGCAAACTTCTCAATGATGCTGATATTGAAGAGAAAGACAGTTATTTATAATACAGAAAGATATTTTATGGACATGCCAAATCTTGTTCATGCAATGATTTCCATTACCATCTGTCGCTTTAAGGCTATAAACAAGACCCACGGCCAAGTATCCTTTAGCTCTGAACTCTGCTGCTTCTTTCTCTCCCATTTCAATCACCATCTTTGCAAATGTCTCCCCTTCATCTAACTGAATGGAAAAGATACAACATAATAAAAAACATGTTAAGAAAGTAATGACAAAAACAGGTAACATTACAGACACCATGAGACAATAGATACCCAGTGAAGAGGTCCAATACAGAGTTTGACAGCAAGTAGTGGGAGTGTGGGGTCATCCGGTTTCAAGCGAATGCACTCTTTAAGAACTTTCACTGCTCGGGCAGATTTCCCAGCAGCCATCAGCGACAGGGCGAGCTGGTACCACAAATGAAACTCCTCAAAGGCAAACTTCATGGCTCTCTCCAAACACTAGGGACATTATAGTAGGATATTCTTAGTTCAATTATAGACATAGCTACTTCTGTTGCTGCTAAAAAATGGGTCACTCACCTCAGATAGCATCTCATACTGCCCTCTCCTGCCTAGAGCAATGGTCAAAAGAT